CTGTTAATGCGGGTGCCCTCAATATCTGGACCATCTCCACACCCTTCTCCTGTCAGTCTCGGGTGCCTCCATATCCTGAAGTTCCCATTAATTCTCCATTCAGGCCAGTCTCTACATTGCAATTACACATCTCAGCGTTGTCTCCTTGGGGGGCTGCTGGAATCTCTCTCCATAGAATTTTGCAATGTGCCTGGTAGTGCTCAATGAACAGGGTCCTTGGATGCTGGGCTGCGTACAGTGGTGTCTAGTTAGGTGAAGCCTTGGTGGGTTCTCTGCTGGCTAATATAAGGTTGTGCTCAGTCTGCAGCCTCTCAGAGGGAGCTGCAAATAGGATATCCTTCCTCTGCCCATCTGGCGGTTATCAGGACACTTGTATAAAAACGAGACCTACTTCCCTCTGTCAGATTTGCCTGAAATGGTCAAGTTTTTGCTAGGCTGTGAGTCTGTATGTGTGATATGTGCTATGGCACAATGGTGGGTGCTGAGACGTGGATCTGCACAGATCCCCTGGGAAGTCTGTGCATGCCCAGATGCAGCTCTGTAATGTAGTTTTTTCTGTCTGTGTGCAACAGGGATAGATATTTGGTGGATGGAGTTAGCAGCATCTGGCTTGGGTGATCCTGGGGCAGGAGATGCGTGAGATCCAGCTGAAGCCACAGGCAAATGGAAGACAGGCAGCGGCCAGATGAGACTGAAAATCTGCAGAGTTTCATCCCTTTTAGACAGACCTTGTTGACAGGGGTTATTTATTTATCCCAAAATTTGTTGGGGAAAAAAAAAGAGAGATTATTGCAAACACATACACAGGAAGAATAAATGGAGGGGAACAACCCAGGCTGTGGCATTACTGCTAGTATGTAAGACACGCTTTTTTTCTTCTCTTACCCTCCCGCATCTTGCCAGGCTTCCCACAGCTCTGTCATCTCATCCAGCTGAGGTAAAGGGAGAACCTGGTCCGTCAGCTTTATGGGGTTTGGAGGCAATTTGTTCAAGGAACTGTAAAACCCAGAGAAGTTGCCCCTATAAATTATTTACCAGGGACAGTAAAAGATCAAGGAAATTGCTGAGATTCCTTGCAAAACCCTGAAGTTTATGGCGTTGTTTCCCTGCCCCTACCAGGTTTCTCTAAAGATCCCTGTAGTGGTTTTAGGAGCTCTTTGACAGGGGATGATGGCAACCAGTGTCTGCAAAGATCAGCTGAGACTAGCCAGGTTTAAGTTTTCTGATGTATATAATGTATATGGTGAGCATCATGGAGGCTCCTAAGTGAGCTGGTTGCTCTAAGTGAACTGAGCTGCCCCGAGTTGGACAATGATGGTGGAGCAAACAGCAGCCCTCCATCAGCCTTGCTACCCAACGTATATCCTAAAAGATGGAGCACATGAAAGGAGCAAGCCCAGATGTGGTGGGCTGTTGGTGGAGGGATGTATTGGAGCAAGCGTTTGGAAGCTGCAGAGCAGCTCTTCACCCTGATACACAAGTTCCACACTGCATTTTCTCACCTAGGGCTGGTATTTCGTACCCAGATGAGTCCTTAAATGCAGGGGGATTCTGGAAGGAATCAAGAAGGGGAAAAACAAGACAGAAAACAACTCATTTTTCTTTTGAAGTCAGAGAATAGTGCCCTTAATTTGGGTTCATTTATAATCTGGATGTGCTGAAGTCATCCATCAAGGACCCATGCTGGTAACTCAACAGCAGGAGTTGGGTGGATTTTCACCCCGAATGAACATTTGCAGCTCACTGCTAGAAAGCAGAGCAGAGCTTTAACTACAATTTAAAAAAAAATATATGTAATAAAAATTAGAAATATTCAATATGTTCAAAAATTGAACACATAACTGTTCAACATGCATGCACATGTGTATATATGAATTCACGTCTGTCAGGAAATCTGTTTAGTTTGTTGCATCCAGATTATTAAACCCTTTTGACTCTTTTTTCCTCACCTTTGCAATGTGAATTCAAGGTGTGATTGTTCTGAGCTTGAGCCTTTCTACACCCACAGCGTCTCTGCATTTTGTGGATGTTAATATTTACTCACTGAAGGCCTGGGCCTCACCGTGCTTTTTCTTTGCCTCTTCTGAGTCTTCTAGGATTTATTCCCTATATGAGTATTTTCCTATTGCTTTGTTAATGTGCATTTTTTACTCTATTTGTTCCATGCTGAACCATTAAATAATATCAGACCTGGGGGGGGGGGAAAAAAAAAAAAAAAAAAAAAGGAAAAGCACATGTTCAATTTTTATCTGCAAAAATGTGCTTTGGCTGAGCTGCCCAAAGTGACTGCAGAAACTCAGTCTTATTTCTTGTTGCTTAGGCCTTTTTTTCATTTCCTGCATATATGTGAAGTTAGGCAACTAATGCTGAAGATTCAGAGGGGTGGTTTTTTCTGTCCTTTGCCCCTTGCTGGCTCTGTATCCCCCTCAAGTTATCACCACAGCAGTACATACCCTTGCCCCGTGGGTCAGCACTCTGGCCACTGGTGCAAGGAAGCCAATGCTCTGGAGTAGACCTCCGCATCCTCCAGGATGATGTTGGCATCTTAGAGGGACTTTCTTATTCTTTAAGAATAAATTAGTATTTCATTGGAATTACAAAGAGGAATGGAGATTTCTGTTAGCATTTGAACTTTTTTTAAATGATTTTTTTCCACGTGTTTTGGGCTTAGTCTGTCCCAAGCAGCAAGGAAATTTCATCCTTGGTTTAGGGCAGGAGTGGAGAGGATGAGGTGGGAGAGGATAAAAGGTCACATTTGGAAAGGCAGGAGGTATGAGTCCAACATCAAGACTCATGTCTGAAGGTAGAAGCTACTTACAAAGCTATTCTGAAGGCAGTGAGTTTGGAGTTTGTTAATCTACTGCTTATCTTCTCTTAATGAGATGGGATGGATTGGTGACTGCTGAAGGCAATGAGGGCCATGAGCCCTGGTGGCCTCCAGGCCTGGTGTGTGTGCTAGAGGACCTCGACACCAGGCAGGACCCCATGGGGTGACATGTGGCAGTGGATGTGCTAACTCAGGGATCCATGAGTCACTTATGAAAATCAGCAATTTGGAAGATCTTCTGTCTCAGTGTGGCAGCTGGTGTTTTTGGGGCAGGACTGGGTGGGCTGGTCACTGTGCTGTTTGCAGAAACAAGCCTTCCCCATACAGACCAGCAAGACCATTAGAACAGGCTTCAGTGCCAGCTGTTGTGATGGGCTAGATTAGCTATCTCAGTACATATTATATTGCATTTCTGGAGTTATTTTAGACATGGAAATTCTCAGAACAGTGTGTTGTCTTTACAAGCTAACTTATCCTTTGCTTGGATTGTATTTTGGGCAGGAAGAGGTGTAGAGGTGTGAATGATGGGAAGAAGAGAAGAGAGTATAGAAGGGGGTACTCTTTGAAAAACTGAAATAAAGGTCTCTGCAGGAACATTTCTGGAGAGACATGTGGTTTTAATAATATTAACACAGAGCTCAGAAACCCAGTCAAAGGTTCTGCTGCCTTCCTGCTCAAGGAAGGGGGTTTTATAGTCCAGGACAGACCCTGACCTACAGAGCTGAGGATTAAATGGGAAGGGAAGAGGGGATGCTGCCAGGCTGGCATTGCAAGAAGGGTGCTGGGGGCTGAGGGGCGATGGCATGAGCTTGCCAAAACTTGAAACACAACTCTTGCAAAAGAGGTGGGGGTAAAACCTAGTTGTCTTGGGTCTCAGCTCTGCACTTCTCCTCTATTACTTGATTCCTAGAAGCTTGTTTACTCCCGTTGTTAAAAAGCCTACATTTCCTTGGTTTGTTCGGGGTGTTTTAGGGGGTTTTTTTTGAAGAGTGAGATTTTTTTTGCTTTGAAGCCATCTCCACAGTAACCAACAGCAGAACCGCACAGAGGTTTTGGCAGGAATTACGAAGGAAGGAGACAGCACGGGTTAACACAGCACAGCAGAAATCTTGATTATATCCAAGTACACCCAGCAACTATGAGAAGAGAAAGGGAAAATAAGAAACAGAAAACACTTTAGGGAAACTTAAATTCTGAGGGTCTCAGAGATGGGTGTAGCTACGTGATGGTCAAGTTGACCACAGCCCCAGTGCCCCTGAAGTCTAGACATACACCAGGCTGGTCCAGGGATTCATTTAGGTGGGGTTATTCCGGGCTCTGCACAGGAACTCAGCCTTGTTTTCCAAAACAGACCCAATCTATAATGCAACATGATTTTGAGGTTGCACGTTGTCAGCTGGAAGGAACAATCCAGCCCTGGCAAAGAGCTAGGCTGGATGAAGTCACCTGAGCTCATCTTTTCCCCACACCTGTAATTTCCACCCTGGAAGTAGTTCATGTCTCCTTGTGAAATTGCTCAGCCTGAGATGCGCAGGCAAGAACAGAGCAAAACTTTTTTGTTGTCCATTAAAAAAGAAAACCCCTTCTGACAACACCACTTCTGCTGCAGCTGATGATTTGTAGAGAGAAGTCCCTGCTGCTCAGAGGGAGACTCCTGTAGCAGTTTGGGGAGTTACTAAACCATCCAGAGGTAATAACCAGAGCCTGCAGCTCCACAATGATGTGCTGGATCTCCAAGGGTAGCAAGTACAAAGCAGTTAATCCTGGATTTAGGAACCTGGAGGCTAGTCCCAAAACAGGCCAATAAAGACTTGAGTGCAGGTGATTGTTGTTTGCAGGGATCTAGTGATCTTTCCTCCCTGCGTGATTGAGGCAGCAGATGCTTCCCTCTTTCATCACACCCCTAATCCTCACATTTAGGCTTAATTGCCTAAGGTTGTTGTTACCTGAACAAGGGTGCTGTTAGTGAAAGGTGCTGGGGGAGCAAAGCTGAGCTCTCCCCTGTAGCCAGCATCAGCAAAGACATGGAGGAATTAGTGGATTTGTGGGCTTCAATGCCAGTTGCCTAAGCCAAGATGAGTCTTTTTAGTTGGAGACAAGCTTCCCTTGTCGCTGTAGGCTGGTGGGAGCATCATATCAGATGGCCTGTGTTAAATCCTCTTTTTTCCTGCAGATGAATGATGCTCCAGGCTGTGTGCTGACTCCAGGAACCAAGAAGGAGCTTCTTCCCAAGGACAAGGAAAATGTTGTATGCCCAGATCCTTGCCTTGGCAGTGGCTGTGGTGCAGTACAGAGCTGTGGCCGTTCATGAAGGTACGTGACAAGTGGGCTACCATGAATGCAGCAGCTAGGGGTGATACTAAGATACATCAGGAGGAAAAACAACCGCTTCCAAGAAGCAGTTTCTGCTGATGTCATGGATCCACACCCAGATGCTGTCACAGTGCTGATGCCTTTAACCTCTGCATAGGGTCCTTTTAGGTTGGGATTATCTGGCTAACAGAGCACCTCAGCTGGCCCCAAAAGGCAGGTGGGACCTGACTTGTTCCACTAGGGTTTATGGGGAAATCAGGGCTCTGCTTAGTGTCCTCTAAGCCTCTAATACTGTTCCACCTCAACTGCCCCAGGGGAAATGAGGAGAAAGGGAAAATGCATCCCCTCCTGATTCCTCTTCTGATCTCCAAGAGCTGGTACAAGCCACCACACAGAGGATATGAGAGAAAAGACATCAAGGAAGCCTTGAAGCCTCCTGCTACTGTTTAGAGTGGAGATGGAACAAGGGCTCACCACCTTCCTAGTTCCCTGTTGCCTGTGCGGGCCCACAAAGAACTTTGGGTAGAGGGGGCCAGAGCTGAAAGGCAGGAGACAAAAGGAGCCAGAGAAGACCCTCATGGAGTCCATGACATGTCTCTGTAGCCTCATGGTACTACAGAAGGGGAAGGCTCCTTGTGAGCATCCTACAAAGCTAATCCAGAGCTCCCAGGACAGTTATGGGGTTGAGTATGAGCCAGTGAGGCTTCCCTCTTCAAACTAGTCTGCAGCAACAAGGCCCCATGCTTTGAAGGTATAAATTCACCTGGACTAAATTCAGTAAATTCAACAAGGAGTTAATGGAAGCTTTGGCATCAGCTACAAAATTAACTTGATTAAGTTCCTGTCCATCAATTAAGCCAATATACTTGACTATAATGCTATTTAATTCAAAGCTGGGAACAGTGCAATAAATCAACATTTACAGATGTCTCTGGCAAACCTGTGATTGATGAAACATGGTAATTTTGGAGGTGCATGGGAAATTTCAAATAAAATCATATCCCCCTGTGATTAATATAGCTGTCTGTGTTGGTATTTTCTCGAGAAGGTACCAATCCAAATATGCTTAACATCACATGCTTCTGATGACAGCTTCAGGTACCTGATCCAAGCAGTGAATGCTCTCGGGTTTCATTGCCAAGCTGGGCCCCTCAGGAAAGGTGCTGAGCTCCTGTCTCAGCACCTCACAGAATGGACTCTGATTGCCCCTTTGTAGAGAAAGGGGCACCATCCTGCCCTTTTTAGTCCCATGGAACTCTTGCTTGTTGCTTTTCTTCTCATTATCCCTGGATGCAAATGGGGGTGGGAGCATTATGCAGGGTGAGCAAGACTCCCAGGGGCCAGGCATGGATTGGAGGTGGCTCTTGGGGGATTTGGCATGTGAAGGAACAGGTAGAAAAGGTCCCCTCAATGGCATTTTGAGCATGTTTTCCAGCTCAGGGTCAAAAATGCAGGTCTTCCAGGAAAAGCTGTCCACACTGCCTTGAGTAGCTCCAACAGGTGGGTGATTTTGAGAGGGCTGGTTGATGGTCTCCTCCATCTTGTTGAACTTTTATTGGGGTTTTCCTGGTTGTGGTTACTGGGATTTTACAGGCTGTGGTTACTCTGAGAAGCTGTCGAATGATTTCCAGTTCTGAGGTTGGAGCTGAGAACTGGTATTGCCTTCCCTCCAAGTCCTGGGGGAACAGGGACATCAAGGTCAAAGCTAGGGGAAAGGGGCATATGCAAAAAGAACCCGCAGCTGGGAAAAGAGCTTATGGTGATGTTAGCAGCTGAGCTGCCTCCAGGACACCTCTGACATCTCAGCTGAAAAGTATTTATGGAGCATTGAGAAAGGAAGAGAGATCTCAACAGAGAGTTCTAGGAAGGAAAATTGAAATAATCATCCCCCATTTTGTCAAGGGAATGTGAATTATATTCCCAGCTGGGTACAAGTAAAACCAAAAAGAGCCAGTCGTTATTTTTCTGCAGTAAACAGAACTGTTGAAGTTGTGAAGAGCTCAGTGACAAAGAAAAATGAAGAAACTAAAAGCATTGGGTAACAAAGACCCTCGGACTGCCATCTGTCTGCAGCCAGCAAATGATCCTCTGTCCTGCTGTGTGGCCAAAGGGGGTCGATCAGGGACACGGCACTGAAGGAGGACACAAAACCTGCATCTTTCCAAGCTCTCTGGGGAGCCTGCTTATAGAAATGGGGTAAAAGTCAGGTAAATTGAAGAGACTGAGCTAAAACAGGCTTTCCATTTGCGGTAGAAGCAGGAGAAACCTGCCTAGCACATCTCCCCAACAAACTGGAACAAATGCTGCGGCCCTGGTTGGGTGTGAGTTGAGTCTCCAGAGCTGCAGCTGAAAGTCAAGGCAGTGGCTGGGTAAAGTCCAAAGCAGCAGTGACACAAAAGGAGAAGAAAAAAAAAAAAAAGAGAGAAGAGGTTGAGCCCAGTCCTGGTGAGCGAGATACAAAAAGCCCTCCTCCAGCAGTCAGCGTGGTCTACTTTTTAGCAGCTCTACAGCAATAATTCAGCATCTATCTGCAAGGGAGAGAAATACCAAAGAAAATACAGATTTTGAACATCCCTTGTAGAGCCTTCATTAATTTAAGCATCCCTAAAAGTAATCAGATTTCTGTCCATGAAATATAGTTATTGGATGCCTAAAGAAAATTAAATTAAATTGAGACTGAACACTGTAAAGGGAAATATGCCTTGATGTTCGTTAAACAAATTTCCCTATACACCTGTCCCTTCCCTGCCAGCTGTCATCAGATAGCTCTGGCTTGTACAGAAAAAACACTGAAATTGTTCATTTTTTGCACAAGGTAATTTTTTTTTTTTTTCTCAGGGATGCTGGCAGCTAGGCAAGGGGGGGAGCATCCAGAACTCTCTCTATGCAAGACTGGAAGATTTTTTTTTAGGACTGACAAGGCCTGGGTGACCAGGTGGCCCAATGTCTGCATGGGTGTCTCACATTGGCTCTAGAGACCTCGATGCAAGAAGCCCAGGATGGTTGATGGGATGGCAGAGCTGCCACGTTCCCAAATTTGAGTTGTGTGTGACTCAGGTGTCAATGTCTGCTTCTGGGTGTGTGAAACCCCCAGGCATCCCCTTGCTTCCAGCGTGTCCTACAGACCCACATGACTTGATGGGTTTGGGTCTCAGTGTTTGTGCTTCAAATGAGAAACTTCCCCTGGGTGAGAACAGCAAAACAGGGAATTAGGAGGAAATAAAAGAGAATAAAGCAGCCTGTTGCTCTGGGAAGCCCATGATTATGCCCTTCATTAGGCCTAAGCAATATTCCTTAGCTGCAGTATCTTGGGGGTGCACATGACTCGGGGGGGTTTATCTCCTGGCTGGCTCATTGCATGGTGTGGGATGAACCTTCCTGCCCCTCTTCTCCCTCAGCGTGCAGGACAGCAGAGGTGGCCGACATTTTGTTCCTCGTGGGGCAGTCACAGGGCACAGGAAGGGAGAACTCCCAGCTGGTCAAGGACTTCATTAGCAGCGTGGCCCGTTCCTTTGAGAACGTGGTGATGGGCAAAGGAGGCATCCGGCTGGCGGTGGCACTCTACAGGGAGAAAGCAAGGTGGGTCAGTCCATCCTCTACCAGCAGCACCCAAGTTTCTGTACCCCTGTGGCTCTAGATGGGCAGCCATGGCCCCGTGGTTAAAGAGCTCTCAATGCTCTGCTGAACCTTTACAAGAGCAGAGCAAGAGCTCAACCCTCAGTAGTGTCACCAGTGTCTAGAGGTGCTCGGCCATGGGGAGCTCTTTCAGGGCAGGAGGTTGACATTTAATGCAGCCACAAGAAATTCCCCGCCATCTAATTTTATACCATGTTTTATGGTAACAGGGCTCTGGGGTTCATACCCTGGACTCCCTTGACCACTGTGAAGAGGACTCCTTGCCTACATATAAACTGAGTATGACTGACTGAATGCAATATTATTGCTGGTCATTACTCTTATCAGTGCATCCTTGCTGTGACGGTGCTTTCTTGCTTCTTATTCACCCATATTCCCCCATTTCTCATTCCCAGGATGAGTATCGAGCTCACGGATTACATTACAATTGAAGAAATGCTAGTGGCAATTCAGGATCTCTCCCTCAAAGGTGGCAGCTTAAAAACAGGGTCAGCCCTGGTGTTTGCAGCTCATGCCATGTCTCGCCAGGACACGCTGCGAGAGGATGCAGCAAAGGTAAGAGACTTCCCTGGGGTCATCCTCAGTGAGGATCAGACTTCTAACTTCTTCACCTGAAGGCGTGAATGAGCCATTTGGGTTTTATTTATCCCATCTGATATTTAGCTTGGAGTTGAGGTACCACATTTAGGAGCTTATTCAGCCTCAGGTGACTTTATTGGTGATAGAAGGAGGTAGGTGCCTCTAGATCTTCAAAGGACTGACTCACTTTTTAAAAATGTTCATATTTCCTCATGGATTGAAGAGGGAACCAGTGTTCTAGTCTTAAATACCTCCAGCTGAACACCAAAATTCAGAGCACTTACTGCGTAAGCTAACTGAACAGGCTTAGGACATGATAAGGACAAGGAGACAAGTTGTGGCGTTGGTGCACGTAGCTGTTGGTACTAGTCTGTACCCATCCACTCTGGTTACAGAGGGTGACAGTACAGCTAGAATCTTACTCAAAAAGCTGACATGTTACAATGTCTTTACCTTTCAGACATCAGTTCTGGGTCGTTGGTTTCTTCAGATCGTTTTTGTTTTTTTTTTTTAATTATTTTGCTCATAATTTCTAAGGGGCTCTGAGGATGGTAAAGAGAAGGTGCTGCATTCTGGTTTGCTCTGCAGGCTGCATGAAGCAGTTCACTCTGCTCTGCTCTGGTGATAAATGGCCTTGAAATCAAGAAGGGGGCAACCACATGGGGAGTGGATACACCCTGTGAATCGAGCCTGAAACTATCACAGTCACCTTTCACCTCCCATGGACATACCACATTTGCAGCTTGGTGCTGCTCCTTCCCCTTTGCTCTGAGATTTGCATGCTAAATGTGGTCTGCGACCCATGCTATCAGTGTGGTGTGATCAGTGTGGTCAGTGAGACCTGTTTTGGGTCATAGAGCAGGAGGGAGAACATGATGATACAGGTGGGATGCATTAACCACCTCAGCTGCCTGCTTAAAGGTCTTGCAGCAGGGTCTGTCTTCATTATAGCATCCCATGCACCAGCCGTATCTCCTGCTATGTGATCTGACATGGGACTGCCCAAAAAGCTTGATAAGTCTGTGGTTGCTCACTCTGGCTGTCATTTAAACCCAGGCTGTGGCTGAGAGAGTTTCTTACCACCTGATAGCACCATCCAGGTGCCAGTGGCCAAGAGTTATGTCCAGCGTACAGCTGAGTCCTCCTTTAAGAGCTGCTCTTACGGACCTGTAGGGCTGAATCCTCTCTCTGTGCTGGCGTTAATCTCCTTCTGGAGCCAGAGTTACTGCCCTAAGCAGAGGTGAGACACAGCTGAGCAGGAGGAGACATGCAGAGAAGATGCTGTAATGAGCAGCAGCGTTTATGCTCTGCTCCTTCCCAGCTCATGCTCATGAAAGCTGATTTCACATGTCTTACCCCAGAGGTGTGAGTTATCAAAGGATTTATTTTCAAGTGCCCATCCCTTTAGAAAGAAGGACTTAATCCAAAATCTGGCTTGTCAGTGTGAAAATCCTGCGGCTGTCTCTGACCTCCTCATGTTGTGCTCTTTCATCCTCTGGCTCTTACACCAATACTTGCAGGCAGTTGTTTTGGTCACGGATGGGAAATCCAGCGATTCGGTTGAAGATGAAGCCCGGGTCCTGCAGGACGGGGGTGTGACAGTGTTTGCTGTAGGTACGTACGGACACACTAAGTTCTGTGGAGCATTCCCACCAAATACTGTGTGTGCACCAACACACAGACTATGCACCGGGGAAGATTCCTGATAATGACACCCCCCTCTAAAAACTGCACCCATCCCCAGGCTCAGCCACTACTGGAACCACAGGAAAATCACATCTGTGCTGTACTTGGGTGTTTTTTGTTGTTGTTGATAACTGATTTATTCAGTGGAAATCTGCGGTTTTGCATCTGTCAGAACTACTTATGAATTCAGGAGGAGTTCAATAAATAGTTCCATAAAAGTCAAAATGTTTTGATGTGACATTTTCAAAAATGAAATGTTTTTACTTTTGAAGGTTTCTCTTAATGGGGTTCAGAGAGCGACTTTAGCTACGTTAAAAATGTCCATCAGAATAATTCTGTGAACAAGGAAAAGTTTCAGCAACCCCCCCCACCCCCAAGAGCTTCATACAATCATTTATTACAACTCAAATCTTTTCCCTCAGAAAACATTTCAGGGGAGTAGAAGGAAATGGTGGTGCTGTTTCATTATAGAGAACAACCAGGTCGATTTGGACCTATGTGAAGTGAAAATTGGGGAAGGGTTGGTTTGTTGGTTGGGTTTTTTTCCCCAGTTTTTTTAATTCAACCATGGGAAAACCCTGCAATTTTCACACAGCCACCCAAGGTCCTATCTACTCTTCCATCAGATGGGCAGAAATGTCTCTATATCCAATGGGAAGCATGAGGCCAGATCCTACCCTGTTCCTTTTCACTCTCCACACCAACAGAGCTTTCCACCTTTTGGCCCATAAGTGGTGGAATGCCCTGGGACAATCCTTGACATGTCTCCGGAGAACACCTTGACGTCTTTTCCCTAATGGAAGAGGTTTCATCTGCTTCACCGCTGCCCATCCAGCTTCAGACTCCATTCCTTGTTTCGTCCTTTGCCCTGGGCAGCATGACTCCAAAGCTGGTGTAAAGCTCAAAGTTCAGCACATTACCACTTCCTCTTGACAACCCTTGCCAATGTCTGGCCTGCCCCACTGATGATGTCTTCCTTTCCTCTTCTTTCCTTCCTCTAGGAATTAAGGGTGCTGACAAGAATGAACTGAACAAAATAGCTTCAGAGCCCACTGCAGAACATGTGCTTTACATTGAAGATTTCCACCTGCTCCACAGCATGGCCCCCAGACTCTCTCGAAGGCTCTGTTTCACTGCCTCGGAGCCACCACGGCCCATCAAGCAGACTGTGCAAGGTGTGTCAGGGCTCTCCTTTTATCCTGTTTGAACCACCCCCTTCCCAGCCCCTGGATGTGCCAGCCATACCACGGAGATGGGCCTCCCACATCCCCTCTGTTCATCACAAGGGAGCTTTAGGGGTTGGATGACCCTAGAGGAGTAACCATTTCATGGAGCGTCTGTTACCTGGGGACAGTGGTCCTGTGTATTTCACTTGTGTCTGCATCTCCGTGGTTTGTCTAGTGATACCAGGTCCTCAAAGTCTGGCTGCCAGTTCAAAGAAAAGGAGCAGCAATGGGCTGAGGCACCATTTCTGCCCCTTGGGGGCGTTTCTTCATGGGCATCTCGTGGTGAAGTCCCAACTTCATTCCTTACAGAAGATGCAGAGAGCATCCAAAGAGATCCCCGAAAAGATCTAGACCTCTCCCCAAAGGGATGCTGATGTTGCAGTGAATCCAGAGGTGATGGCAATGAATTGCTGCCCCCCTCTTCGCACACAAACTCATGGAAAGATGTATTAAAATCTTGGGGCAGAGCTTGGGAGAACTTCATCCGAGTCCTTAAAGGGTCTTTTTTTGCCTTCTCTGTGGTTCTGTAGCACTTCAGGGCTTCCTGTGACATTTCATGGATAGTCCAAACTTTCTGGCAGACTATTCTCTGCTGGGAGTAAGGAGAAAGGCAGGAAGGAGCTGATGCCCTGTGCATTAAGCAGGTGTTCACAGGGAAAATGTAGCCAGAACCCATTTTGTTTTCCATTCTTGTGCTGTCAAGAAATTTGCCAAAAGAAAACCTGCTTGCATGGCTCTGGCCTGGAAACAGATCCAGCTGCTGCTGCGCTCTCAGCCTAAGTGAGTGCCATCTATACCCAAGGCTTTCTCTGCATTGATATGTTGACTCCATCAATGAACAGCTTGCACATCTACAGCACTGATACCATCGTGGCTCAAATCAAAGGCCTTTCCTTTCTCTTTTTGCAGCTGAGAAGATCATCGGCCCACGGGATTTGCACGTCAGTGAGCACAGTCACAGCTCACTGCGACTCACCTGGGTGCCAGCTACAGGGAGGGTGACAGGCTACCGTGTCCATCTGCATCCCTTGCTGCCTTCAGGGCAGCCCGATCCAGAGGACCAGCAGCAGGTAGAGTTGCATTCCCGTTTTTCAGAGCACCAGTTTGCAGGTCCTGGTGTTAGGGATTAGTCCTCTGCTGAGGCTGCTGATGGCACAGCCTGGTTAGGACACGGCACCATGTCCCTCAGCCATCCTGGTCCCAGCCCAGTGCATTGGCATGAATTCCTGAAGCTTGAAGTGAAGGTCTATAGATAGACCATTGCATTTGCAGGTTGCTCGTGCTAATTTTGTCATTGCTGTTGTGGTGAGATGGAGTTTCTGGGAGTGACAGTAGGGAAGGTAGAGGAGACGGAGGATATGACATGAACTGGCACAAAATCCCCTGGGATTGATAGGAACAGGTCAGTGGGAAGCACTCTTTTCTCTCCTTACCTCTGTGGTACCACCTCTCAAATAAACCCATCCACCCTCGCAGCATCCCCTGTTCCTCTTGCTGCCAGGATTGTTCAACTTGGTAAGATCTCTGCATGGTTTGGGTATGCTGTGTCCTTGTGTGAAGGATGCTGCCATGTGTGCCAGCTTGCTTTGGTTCAGCTTGGTCACTGCACAAAGTGTGAGAGCAAGATTGAAGGATAGAAGATGTATGCCCAGAAGCTTTGATTTCTAATAATAGAACAAAGCTATGAAAGCATAAATTATTAAGGTTAAGATTATTAATTGTATTAATTATTAAGATTGTATTTAACAAGAATGATCATCCTCGGCTGCTTCAGAATCTCATAAGAATGTAGTGAAAACACAGAAGTTATGCCTCCACCTCTCTTGCCCTCAGGTTACATTGAAATCTCCCTCTACGAGCTTAAAAGAAACTTTGTTTGACAAAGATGTTTGCTTTTCCTCCATTTTCTTCAAGAGGATTGGGCATCACCCTCACCCGTACACACACTCTTGTCATCATGAGTTTTTTTCTGGGCTACCCCATGAAACTCACCCTTGGCACAGTCCTGTGTCAGTGCTATGTCCAGTGTGAACCTGAATGTCATCTGAAGATCGCCAGGTTCTGAGTTAGTGCGTTTTAAGAGGCTCGTGGAAGTCGCTTTGCATCAGATGTGAAACCTCATGCGACTAACCTGTGGTCAACATGGGGGTCTTCTACTGTCACAGAGGTGTAATGATGCCCTTTGTCCCCTGTGTGACAGATTGTGGTGGATGGTGACAAAAGCACCGTGCTGGTGACTGACCTGAAACCCAACACCAAATATGTCTTCACGGTGAGGGCTGTCTATGCAGATGCCCTTGGGGAGTCAGCAGCTGTCAAAGGGAAAACAAGTGAGTGTCTCTTCTGCAGTCATCCTCGTGTGTCCTTGTCTGTGTGGAAAAAACCCACCCCAAAGCCATATGTGTGAGGAGTGAAGGATGGATGGGTAGGAATGGGTGGGAGGAACTTCTGTGCAAATGTCCACAGTGTGGGAGAGGAGTTGTGAGTGGGTGCAGAGTAATCCATGTGGTTAACCCACTTGAAAGCAGAGGGTGCAGCCTGCTGGATAGTTTACATCACCTGGTTTAATAACCAGCAGGGTTTAACAAATCCAGGCTGGAATTCAGTTAATGTAACACTCATGTACCTGGCATGAGAAAGCTTTTGGAGACTAAGGACTGAGAAACACAGACAAGAGTTTTATGGAGAGATGTATATTCTGAAGACCTTGTTTCAGAAGTGGGTGATCCAAAAGGTTTGGCTTGCCATTATGCATGCACTTAGGTCTTAATTTCTCTCAGGGTGAACAAACACCAAGGTGCTATGATCACAGCCTTTAGGAAATGCCCCAAATAGTGACCCCTGGTCCCATGAAATGATCTAAGCTTCCTCTGGATTGCAATCTGCCATGCCAAATTCCTTTGCTGTCACATGGCTGGCTCTGATGACAAGGTTCTTGGAAACAAAGGAGCAAATTCACGCTTGGCCAAACCCTGGAGTGCAAGACACTGGGTCAGATGTGATGGATGGAGCAGGTTTTGTCCCAGAAGTCTGCACTACTTGAAGGGGTTTCAAGAGTTTAAGGGGTGCACTAATTCTGCTTCACTCCCTGTTTAGCATGAAGCGCCAAGTCTGCTTTGCCCAAGGGGTTTTGAAAAGAATTATTCCTTTCTTCCTTGTCTTTTGTTTCTTCCCCCACCCGCTGCAATGTCTTAAATTGTTTGTCTTCTTGAGGGAAGATCTCCGACAGGATGAATAAATAAAGCTCCTCAATGAGGTTGATTCATATATACTTGCCAGGAATAAGATGGAATGTCTTTATGGGTGGAAATAAAGTTATTTGATCTCTTCTCTTATTATCCCCAACATGAAGCCAGAGGCAGAAGCTATAAATCTGTCTGCCATGGCTAGCTGGATCAAAATGGGCTCCTCTTTGTAAGGGTGGCATCCATAGGTGCAAGGAGCATTTGATTCATGTGTCCTTGCTCAGTCTGCGAGAAACCACTGCAGAGTTTTCTCTGCTCAGGAGGAAATGCCTTGTGGGTAAATATTTCACAGTTCCCAACACCATTCAAAGAGGAAGCCCATGAACACTCACTCTGCCTTGGGGGGTTTCAGCTCATTTTTCAAGCAGACAAGGGTTTGGTAGTGGGGGTGTGATTGCTTTTCTGGATTCAGCTATGAGAATAGAGAGAACTGGTGCTGCTCAACTTTGTGTCTGTTTGTCCTTGATAAAAGATTTTCCAAAGGTCTTTGCCACGGCACTTTGTTGCAGCACAGTCACATACATTTCTGCAATATTTTTGTACCCCAAAGCACCCGTGCCTCCAGTCACTAATTTTCGTGTGATAGAAGAAGGACTGTTTAGCTTGAAGGTGGCTTGGACACCTCCACTGGGCAAGCTGGAGGGCTACAAGATCTACATCCCCAGAGGTAAGTTCAGATTTTATTTTTGTTTTCTTGGAGTTTGCTTTAAAAAGAGCAGTGACCTGAGGACAGGAAAGTTGTCATTTTGACCAAGGAACAACACACCACAGAGCTTCTGGTATTACTCTGGATGGAGGCCAGATTAGCCTCTTCCAGATGGTTTGGTTCCTCTGAGACAGTGGAGAAGAATCCTTTGAAGGACTTTCATTTGAAGAGCAAGACAAGGATGGTGCTGTGGATGCCTCGTACCCATTTGCACTGTCACATCCAGACCTACCATGGATGTTTTTCATACTCAAAGGCCTTCTTTGGTGTGGATGTGGGGTGAGTTTAAGCTTTCAGTATGGCTCACACTCACCTCTGGGTGATCTGGAGGGCTGGGACAGCATGGACAAGCCTTAGCTACGGACATAACTCTCAGCAACGTCACATGGGTTGGGGGTCTTCAACCGTGCACTTTAACCAACTCTTATGCATGTGAAGCCATCACTATGGCATGTAGACAGACAGTGTGAAGGCTTCACCATGACTCTTCTTGATTTTGCAGCCAACAGACCAGGAATGACCTACGAGCAGGTTCTACGGGGTGATGTCTCTTCCCACGTGCTGGATAACTTGCAGGAGGATAGAGAATACAGCATCAGCATCTATGCAGTGTACCCCCAGGGGCCAAGCCAGCCTGTGGCTGCTGTGGGGAGAACATGTAAGAGGTTTGACTCTGTGCCTGGTCCCTTCTTGCCCTGGGCTCTGTGTCCACACCCTTTGATGCTGATAAGCACCTCACAGTTGGCGAGTGCTGCAGCAACATGTGCATCAAAGGGGCAGTGTTCAACATGTCCTTCCTAACTCTAATCTTGAGCCCTGCTCGTCCCCCATTACATGTATGGACATGGGCACCCTCACACACCATCATGCTGCTTGGGAGGAAGGGTGGGAGATCTGCCAGAGCCTCACTTGCCCACCCATTTTGCACCACAAGCAAGGTTGGTTCATTAGAGGCACTACTCCTGGAAAGCATTGGTCATTTGGTTTGATTTTTTTTTTTTACCACTGCCTTTATGAGATGCTTTCAGCCTGTCTGGTAGGACAGGGGCCCTTGGAAATCCCTCTCCTGAGAGATGGGGTAGAGGAACAGTGATGCAGGGGAGGGCAGTCAACAAAGTCCTCCGCTGGAAGTGGGTGCTCTGAAAGGTTTGTTCCCTGTCCTCCTTCCAGTGAAGCTCCTGCCTGTGAAAAGCATCTTACTGCAGAATGAAACTACCGACACACTCCAGGCAAGGTGGAGCCTCGTCCGGGGAGCGACGGGCTACAGGCTCACTTGGACATCGGCAGGTAGAGACACAGGGGTGGGGTGCATGCACCACTGAGTGGGGAGATGGAGAGACGGGAGATGTGAGGTCCCCAAGGCACTGGATGCATTGACGCCTTCTTTGACCAGCCACGCAACAAAAAGCTGTAGGGAAACAGTTTTTTGGGGGTCTGTGAATGGTGGAGTTTTCTGTACATGGGGGTAAATCAGCAGCTTGCAACAAAGAGCTATGCCATGGGTGTTGGTGGTAAATTCTGCCCTGGATGCAAAAATACCTGCTCTGTCCAAGCATAAAGCAGGCTAATGGGTATCCAGCCTTGTTAGCATGGTATTAGTGATGGATTTACTGGACGTGAGTAGGCTTGGAAAGGGTTAATAGCTGGAGAGAAGCTGGTGAAGTACTCCATGCAGAGCTGCACAGCACACAGCCCCGGAGCATCTGGGGTTACTCCCTTTTCGGGGGGGAAGGATACGACCACATTACAGACTGGAAGCGCCTGTGCTTGTCTTTCTCTCTGCAGCTCTAAGACCTGGCTTCATCCCCCAGCATCACATAATGCATCCTCATTCTCAGACAGATTTTGGTGTTTGAAGACAGATCTGCATTTGCAGCTGGAGCTTCTCCTCTGCCCTGAGCCCAAGCATATTTTCCTTGCTGGTGCGGGGGAGCAGAAGTTAGAAATTCAGGCCTGATAGCATATTTTGGCCTTGGGAGATGGATGTTTCTGTGGTTCAAAGATGAGACGGGATGTCAGGACACCTGGGCTCCATCACACTGTCCTCTGGCTCAGCTCCCCTGGTTGTGAAAATAAGGAGACATCTCCCACCAGGGGAGGGGAGGTTAGTTGGAGAGCATCTCCAAAGGTCATCAGAAGGGAAAAATCTTACAGGGAAGATATAAAACTGCTTTTATTGCTTTGTAATTAGTTTCTCTATGGAAAAAATCATGGCATATCCCAAAACTCAGCTGTTTACCCAGTCCCCGCTCAGTACGACAGCTAGAAATGGAGCACACACGTGCTCAGCCTGCCATGTCTTCGGAGTGGGGACACCCCTTCCTGAGGGGACAGCATGGGACATCCTCAGATGAAGCAGCAAGGGCACATCACCTCCACACTGGATTTGCTCTTTCTGAGCAGCTCTTTCACACCTTGTACCAGTTGACCCCAAATGCAGGGGCGGTAAATCCCAAGGGGCAGCTCACCTTTGCTGCTGGGCCCTGCAGGATCCTCCTGCCACGCTCCATCCCATCCCAGAACCATGCGTTATGGGTACAGTGGTGTTGGGATCCAGACACCTTCTGTCCTTCCCTGTGCAGCCGTCCCAGGCGCTGGAGGGGTTTGATTTTTCTTCTCTGACTTCTAAAACAGAGAATAGATAAGCATAAACAAGCTGATGTGGAGAGAAGGTCCATGGCATGGGGTGGGAGAAGGGGGATGGGGCTCGGGGTGCTGGTGGAGCAGAAGATGGGGACATGGCACCCTCCAGTGACCAAACTGAAAATGGCAGCTTCCCCTCCCCAAAACCCCAACGTCCTGCTGCCTGCACCTCTTCCCCCCTGAAATTCTATGTGATCCCCAGCCATTACGTTTTAACTCTTCTCCTGCCATGCCAAGAGGTTTAGCTGAGCAGTTTCTAGTCCACAAGAAGGACACAGAAATGAGAAAATATCTTTTGTGGCATCAGTTGGCTCTGGTGTCCTGCAGGGAGGGAAGGCAAGATGACTCCAGCACCGAGTCACCTAGGGCTGGGCAGAGTGTGGCCCCTCTTGCGGGACTCTCACAGACCCCTGCGTGGCCATTTGTGTGTTGCTACCTGATTTGTTTTCTTTGGCCTGTGAAGCCCTGAGTTGCCTTGATCTACTGGTGATCACTGAGGTCTGCCTGAGCAGCTGTGGGTTATCTCTCTCTGTATATACATTAGCTTCTCAACCATGATTTCTGCTCGTTGCACCAACCCCTATCTCTGCTATCTCGGGCTTGAGAACCTTGCCAGCAGACGTGCAAGCCAGGAGGATGAAATGCCATTCAATCTCACACACGGTGTAGTTCTCAAGTGGCTGTTTACATGATTGCCCACTGCCCTCCCAGACGAGGAGACCCAAGGAGGGTGGTCTTCCTTGGTCTGACCCAAGGGAGCCCAGACATCATTTCCCTTTGCAGAGGGCAGCATCCAGGACGTGAACCTCAGCAGCACCTACAGCTACTACATGATCCAGGGGCTGCAGCCTGGGACAGAGTACACCGTCACCATCAACCCCATTTTTGGGGATGTCGAGGGGCCGGTGGTGAGCAGAAAAGCAACGACAGGTGAGTGCCCTGCAGCAGGGGTGGGAGCCAGCCCAAGCAGACGGGGATGGGGGTCCACCTGTGCTGGCTGCACAGAGCTGGTGTAATTTGTGGTCACCGCACTGCCAGTCATCTAAAAAGCGGTGTGGTTCATCACAGCTTTTGGGTGCCTCTTAGAAGCTGTTGGGACCTTGATGCAATGGGTCAACTTTGCTCCCTTGCAGTGGCATCAAGCACCGTCCAGATGCTGAAAGTGAGTGAGATATCTATCAACAGTGCTCTTGTCTCTTGGGACTCGGTTGCTGGGGCCACCGGGTACCGAGTGGCTTGGGGTCCTACACCAGGTAAGATCCCTCTCTCCTCCAGCCTGCATCACTTCCACCTCCTTCTGTAACATGGGAGATAAGGCATTGGAACCTCAGAGATGGTGGGTGTAGGGGCAGGTCCAGCTCATTAACTGCTCTGAGCATCCACTCCCACACCTTCAGGGCATGAACTGAAACTATAAATTATTCCTGGACCTGGTCCACAGTGCCAGTGAGCAGGGTCCCTGCAGCAACTGCGTTCAGCCTGACCCCAGCCCAACACATAGAGCAAGGGTCCTACACTACCTTGCCTGTCCCCCAGGGAAGAGGTGGGGCAGGTCATCTAGCACAGGGGCTTTGATACCCCCTGTAGATGCTGGGGAGGGAACAGAGCACATGCCCATGTTACTGTGGGCCCTGGGTGAGATCTCGTTTGGTTCCTTTGGTTCCTCTCAGCTAGTTTGGATCCTTTAGTCATTCAAATTCCCAAATAAATAACCATAGGGAAACTCTCTCTTGCCCCAATGCTCATACGGGTTTCCTACGAGAGAGGTTTGACTGGGTCGGAGATGTACTGCCAGGGAAAACGTGGTGTCTTTCCCAATATGCAACAGAGCTGCTCTCCAGACTCTTTATTTTCTTTCTTCCAAAGAGTTCTTTGGCAAAGACCGTCCTCGACAGCTGGCCCTCAACAAGTCAATCACAGCCTACCAGCTCCGCAACCTGGCCCATGACACTGAGTACGTGATTTCCCTCTATGTGCTCTTTGGCTCAGTGGAGGGACCAGGGATCACAACCTCAGCCAGGACATGTGAGTATAGCACGATGTTCAAGTAGCTACCACAGCACGCAACCCTTGCATGTCTGGTTCAACCTTGTGTATCCCTGCAAAGGCGTTACACCGTATCTCCTGCACCTCACTCCCATCATCTTCCCCTCGTGTCAGGGCACCAGGATGACCCTCTGCCCTGCCAACCTCCTGTGTCTGGTGGGTGAGACTGTGAATCCCAAGGGTTGTATGCCTGGGAGTCTTCAGGTGCAAACTGGAGCCAATGTGCTCTGCAGTGGTTCTGTTCATGTGTGTGGGCTTGGGCAGAGCTTCAGGTATGAAATGCCCAATCTGTGCTCAATGAGCTTCCAGGCACCCCAAAATCCAGACCAATGGCCAAAGTCTTTGTCATGGTTTAAACCTAGCTGGCAGCCAAACACTATGCAGCATCTCACTCCCTGTCCCCTGCCTGGGGAATGGATGAGGCAATTGGAGGGGTAAAGGGACACTCGTAGGTTGAGATAAAAACAGTTAGTAATTGAAATATAATAATAACAATAATAGAAAGTACAAACAGGTAATTCACAATGCGGTTGCTCACCACCTGCTGACCAATACCCATCCCATTATCAGCTAGTGATACTGAAATGCCAAAATCCTGCAATCGTAATCCTGGAAGCGAGAGAGAGCACCCTCCTTCCGGCCAACCCTCCTTTATATTGAGCATATGTTACATGATATGGAATATTTCATTGGCCAATTTGGGTCCAGTGCTCCAGCTCTGCTCCCTCCCAACTTCTTGTATACCTGCACATGGGCAGGACGTGGGGAGTTGGAAAGTCCTTGGTCTCCTAGCAACAACTGAAAACATCAGTGTATTATCAGCATTCTTCTCATACCAAATCCCATACTGAATCCAAAACACAGCACTACTCTAGCTACTAAGAAGAAAAATTGACTCTATCCTAGCCAAAACCAGGACAGTCTTTAACATTGTCAAAGTCCAGCTGGAAAAGAGATGAGACTGGGTAAATTCTGCTGTAGGGAGAGGAAGATAAATGGAGAGGAACATCCTAATGTGAAACTTGCTGCATGGTGACAAGGGCTCTCTCCGACCTCAAAGAAGCAGGGACTTCACAGGGCTGTACTGGGACAAGGTTGCTTGGACGAGGTTGCTTGGACGAGGTTGCTTGGACGAGGTTGCTTGGACGAGGTTGCTTGGACAAGGTTGCTTGGACAGGTTGCTTGGACAGGTTGCTTGGACAAGGTTGCTTGGACAGGTTGCTTGGACAAGAGGCAACAAGTGCACAATCTTTGGGTAAAATAAGGAAAGATGGTGGTCCAGTTGATGGCCAAAGCTTGTCCATCCATGGCAAACTTGGGGGTTGCTGCATCTTGGCGGGGGCAAGGCAGCAATGCTAAGTGGTGGTGATCATAAAACAGGGGCAATACTTGCACAGTAACAGATTTATCCTTGGAGAGGTTTAAAAGTGACAGAAGATGATCAGCAACCCTGAAATCCAGTATGGAGATAATGGCCTGACCCTTGTGATGGAAGATAGGCACAGGCAGGCACGGTTGTTCAGCACCATGGGAGCTGTGGGTGGATGTTTTACCCTGCAGGCAGTGTGGGGGCACTGGGATCGGCATCTCACAGCTCCCTGGATCCCTGTACTGCCTGTCCTGGGCTCGCAGAGATGCTCCCACCTGGATCTAGCACAGAATACATTCCTCGATGCTAGAGGAGGTAGGATGCACACATGTGGCCCAGACCTCCTCCAGCTGTGGGCAATGAGACACTGAGGATAAGCAGATATACCACTTTTAACCTTTTTATGTAATTTTGGCCCCATTACGCTGACAGCAAGGAGCCCTGTGGGACAGTAGTCTAATGCTGTCTTCTCCTCGCAGCTCCTCTTGGCTATGTCTCCAATTTCAAGGTGATGTCCTACACCAGCACAAGCCTGTCTCTGGTGTGGAGTGCCACGGCAGCTGCTACCAAGTTCAAAGTCACCTGGAGCCCTGTGGGAGAAGGCAAAGGTGAGCAGAGAAAGGGTGCACATGCTGTCTGAGTTCTGGCACGAACACCTATCTATGACCGTGACCATGGGAGGCACCTTTCCAAACTCCTGATCTACTGCCTGAGGTAGGAAGGAGATCTCACTGTTGAGAAACGTGGTCCTCACCTTGGTGAGGGCTCCTTTTCTCTTTGTATTCATGCTGTTCTATTTATGAAGATAATCCCCAAATCTCCGAAACAATCGTACGGGGAGGAATGGCTATTTCCTTTGGAGATGCCACAAGCCTCACTGCCCTTTTTTTTTTTTTTTTTTTTTCCAGAAAAACAGGTTGCCAAGACTCAGTACCTGAGCAGTAGAGTGCTGGCTTACCGGATTGACCACTTGCTGCCTGACACCCTGTATAAAGTCAGTGTTCGGGCTGTCTTCAGCAAGAGTGAGGGGCTGGAGGTGACTCTGACTCACCGCACAGGTATGTTCTGGTGGAACAGCCGTCTTCGTGTTGGGATGCAAAGGCTGGATTCATGGTCCCGTGCATTGCATGTTGGTGGCGGAGTATCGCTGGTAGCAATAATCCACAGTTGTTCCGATGAGTCGACACATCCTTTTGGCATGTCAAACAGGCTTGGCATAGGTAGGCAACCCTGGACAAATTAACGTGCTCCCCAGTCTTATTTATCACCAGCCACCTTGGGAAGGTAGGAGCCTCTCTCAGGCACCACTGAGGGTCAACTCACTAGTATGCATTCTTGAGGTTTACCATTCCTTGATTTGTGGCTCTGGCTCTTCAGACTTAGGGTCCTGGGTCTTTTCAGTGTCTTTTTCACATGAGTTCATCGGAATCAGAGTTTCTCGTGGTGTTCGAAGATGTATCTGGTTGATCTGTCCTCTCTTGGTACCCTCCTCATGTCCCTGTGTCGTGTTGCCAGAATTTGATGCAGATGGGAAGAGGTGTGGATGAGATCCCTCAACTTAACTGCACAGTGCTCCTCTCCATGAACTCAGTAAGAAATGTAGCCTGGCGTCCCTGGATAATGTCTGGAAAGTAGATATTGTATCGATATCCAAATCTTTCTTCAGCGCCACAGCTCGTAGCCCCAAACCTGGTGCTGTGTAACTTGAGCTGTTACTTCAGACATCTCATCATGGTTCATTTTTGCAGCATCTCTTGCAGACTCCAATCCCATCCAGACCATCCAAGATCTCAGGATTACTGACACTGGCATAAATAGTTTGAAGCTGGCTTGGAGGAGGCTTCCTGGAGTAACTCACTATAAGATATCCTGGGTGCCATTCAGTGGTAAGCAACCTGCTCTCTTAGTCAGGTGTGGTATGAGGACAGAGCACAAGGAACCCCAGAGAATAAGAGCTTAGCTCAGCTCATCCCTTTTCCCACAGATGACCAGGGTAGATGGGGGCTGTAACATCTATGGGGGCATGTGGGAAGCCCTGTAACTGAGCCAGGTTTTAGTCTAACAAAGATATCCATTGAATATAGGCATAGCTGGGATTTGGGGAGTCAGAGAAGTGGTTCTTTTCCTGCAGCACATGTGATGCCTTTGTGACCAAATCTCTCACATGCCCGTGCCTCAGTTTACCCATATGCAAAATAAGCTCATAACAGTCCTCCCTGGCCTGGTCCCGTAAGATTTATGTGAGGAAGCTACTGTAACAATGCTTGTTAATAGCAATTACCTTGCCCTTTCTATATACACTGTGTTTTTTTTTCTGAATGGCTCCTCTTAGGTGGCTTGGAAACCTCCCAGCTGGTTGCAGCAGACACAGTCTCCTTCACGATCCCCAAACTGAAGGAGAGCACCACCTACACCATCTGCATGTCTGCAGTGATCGGGGGACGGGAGGGAAGCCCCACGCTCCTCACAGCCAAAACCTGTGAGTATGAGACTGCTGGGTGGGGACGAGAGATCCCTACGTTAGTGCTGGGGACTGTCTCCTCCTCGGGGCTGTGATGGGAGGTGAGGATGGAAAAAGAGCATTATTGTCTGTTAGAGACCTTACTACTTCCCAGGTCTCACCAGTCAGCATGCCAGAAAACATGCATTGGTCCTTTCTTACTACAAAAAAACATTGGGACTTTGCCTGTTTTCTCCTGCCAATTAATCACTATGAGATGCTATTTTTGTGACACATTATCTTGGAATTACCTCTTTAGTTACAATATCTTGACTATTTCCAGTAGATAAAGGCAAACATCACCCATGACTGTGGCATCTATGCAACTTGGTTCATGCTGCAGTGTAGACAGATCCGGAGATCAAGTGGTGGAGATGATCGGGGGTGTGGAGCCAGCGCTGTGGTTTCAGGGAGCACTAGCATCTGGCACAAGTGAGCAGGCAAAAACTTTATTGCCCATCTCAACAGCTCAAATATCACAATCAGTTTAGAGAAACTAAAGCCGCCAGTCCATGCCAAAGATCTGCCAACATTTATTTGCTAAAACTACACCAGTTCCCACCGGCTGGGGATCTGATCTCATTCAGCTTTCTGGAAAACCCCTGAAGTTCTCTAGGGAATCCTTCCTCTCACCAGTACCATGGTATTTTAGGAGGCAGAAGGTCTCCAAAGCTGGTTGCAGGTTAAGGCGTGTTTCCTGGCACACACATATTTGCACCTTGGGGTAGATATCTGAGAGCTTCACCAGCAGCTGGAGCTGTGGACCAGTGTAGCAGAGATGTGCTCCATGCTCATCATTTTTATCTGGACTTTTTGCCTTTGATTTCAGTGGGCCAGGATTTGAGCCTCCCAAAGGATGCATCAGCTACCTTTTAGCTCAGTCAAGCTCTTGGTAGTAGCTTCTACCCATCCTAAGCTTTGTTTCTGTTTTCTTTTTCAAGTGGATTTACCCAAAGTGACTGAGTTCACAGTGCAGGAGGCTGCAGAGACCAGCGTTTTGCTGACTTGGACAGCTGTTCCTGGAGCATCCATGTACTTATTAACATGGCGCTTGTCCTCAGGTAATGTTTTTTGGTAGAAAAAGAACGGGTGGTTTGTAATTTTGTCTCATCCTCTGTCAGCTACCCCATCACCCAGTGGGATTTGAGGGTGGAGCATGGACATGTCTGGCTTGGCCTGTGGTCTGTTTGATTCAGTACTTGGTCTTAGAGCCAGCTGGTGCTGCAGAAGATGCAAGTGGCAGGTATTAAAGGGGAGAATTCTTTCCACCACCAGCCTTAAGTGGCTGCTGTTTCCTTCAGTTGTCATGACTTGTGTCTCCAAGTGCTGCCCAGTTTGACCTGGGGTAAATGATGCCATCACTGATGGCACCAACACTGTTCCTTCTTTTGAACCCATCTCGACCCTGTTTAGCAGAAGAGTAGAGGTTGACCCTGGAGGCTTCTATATGTCATGCCCCTTCATCTTAGCTTCTTAATTTGGGTGAAAAAGGTGGGGGGGAAATGGAAGCTGGTCCACTGAGGAGGCTCACAACATAACCCATGTGGCCATTGCAAGATCCTCAAGGGAAGAAAAAGAAGACACAAACATTTCTTAGAATAAAAGCCTGTTGGGTGGCATTATCATTGCCTCTTCCTCTAGAGTCATTACCTGTCCATCAGGAGTAGTTGGAATGAACCAAAAAAATGTGGGCTTTTGTCATCTGTACAACCTTAATTCTTATTCACTTAAAAGCTTTCTTATATATTAAAGAGATTTCAAACTTTCTTAATCATTCCTCACAACTTTGAGGATATTTCTTTTTCCAATTGATTTGGCCTTACAGGGTTTGCCCTTTTAAAGCACCATCTATATTTTCTTTTTCTGGAATGGGTTTAAACCTCTTTGAATACAGCAAGTTTCCTGTCATCATTGCTTCAGTCACTAAGTTTTTGCTAGAGATGAGTTCATCTTCAGAAGTCAATAAAGAAAATGACTGTGACACAATTTGCTTGTGCTTCCTGCAGTGCTTTTTGAGTTACCAGGTCATCAGCTTTAATTTTTTTTAATTCCAAGGACATTTTGGTATTGGCAGCATAAGACTTGTAGCATATGTCACTCAGGATGAAGTCTCCTGTGGTAGCATCATTTTTTTGCTCTACATGTTATGGATAAGTGATTAGGGAACTGAACATTCAGTACTCAAGGGTGATTTAAGTGATCTAATGCAACTGTTCCCCTCCTGTGCCATGCTGTTAAAATATTGATCCCTAAGTATTCAAAAATCATTGGTTTCAGAGTTGTCAGGGGCTCAGAAATGGATAATACCATGTCTGACAGTCCCCCTGTGCCCTCACTCGATCGATCCTTCTGAAATGGGTTTATAGCTATTGATTTAACATTCCAATCAGATGAATCTTGCCACCACATTTCAATAGTACCAACGAGATCAAATTTATGCTCATGAGTAATTCCAATTCCTCTTGTTTAATTATCCAGGCTGCCAGTATTAGTGTATAAAGGCAATTAAGAATTTTGTCTTTTTTTTAATTTTATTTTTGTCTCTTGGCACCTTGATTAATTTTCTTCTCTGAAACTTGTTTTTTTTCTAGATGAGTACTCATTCATTACCCATTTCCCTTGCCCCCCCTTCTAAGCTTACTTAATGCCCTCCTCCCTGCTGGCCTACTCTAGCCAACCCACCTTATAAAAGATAGGGTCCCCTTCTATGCAGCTTGAGGTCATCCCAGTTTCAGACCTCCTCTGCCCAGTGTTACACAAAGCCAAACCCATGTGTGTCAATGGGTGTCTCTATCCAGAGCCACCCTTCCTCCCCCATGCAACTGGAAGGACCTTGGGGAAGTTCAGCTGGACGTTGCCCTCCTCTCTCTTCTTTCTACCTTCTCTTGACTGTTCTTAGAGCACCAAAGTCATGGTTTTCTTACACACCTAATCAACAGAAGCTTGTTTAATCTCACGTTTGCACCTTGAGCCTCACAGTCTCTTGCCCCTTTCAAAACATCAGCTTTATTCTTCATAGAAAATTGTCCCCAGCAAAGACAATCTTCCTTCTCCAAGGGCTGCAGACTTCTTCCTGCATGTGCTTGCCAGTCTTGTGCTGGGCATCCCTTCCTACATCAGTCCATCAGCAAAGTCTTCTTCCTGTCCTAGAGTGCATGGGGTAACCATACTCTGTTTCTCATTATGTGAAAGCCCCGTTACGTGAAACGAAGGAGATCTGTGCCACACAATGACATAACTGCAAAAGGAAAAGTGGCTGAACTTGCCTGTTTGGGGGTCTCGGCAGGGAGGGAGCTGGTGGACTGCTGTATTTATGTGCCTCAGCAGAGCTGTCAGCTTGTGTTTCGTACAGTGAACCTCTTCAGACAAGGTAGCCTGGCATCTAAAACCAGTCACTATTATTTTGACTTGCCTACCCAAAGGGAGGGCAGTAGAAGAGTTTGACACAAACTGAAAGAAGGATTTTATTTTTTTTAAAGGGACAAAACGTCCCGTTTATAAAATTGGGGGGAGATTGAGAACATTTAATGAATTATTTACACCAATTTAATTTATTCCCGTAGAAACTGAGCTGCTTTTTTTTTTTAAGGGAAAATCCTATCTCAGAATGAAAAGGTGCAATTTTCACTCTGAACAGCATCAAAACTCATCATTCAGTATTTCCAAAATAAGACACATAAAATGTCAAAACATTATTACGACATTTTCACAGATTTTTTTTCTTATCGTTATTTTAAATCAAAACTATCTATTGTATGTGACCAAATTTCTCAAGTAAATTTGATTCTGCTTTTATTCATTCAGTAAAAATATCTTGTTTCTATACATGCTAACCACTGCAAACCATTGGTCTATCACAGAGCTCAGCCTCAGACACAACCTGGACCAAATGCCCTCTCTAAACACTTGTACAAATTCTCATTTTCTTCTCCTGTTTGTGTACTCAAGAACTCCCTTGTCAGATGCAAACAACCTTATTTCCTCTGGTTTAGGACCTGACCATGACAGTTTGCAAACATGTCTTACTAAGAGCCTCTGCTTTGAAGCCCAGGACTCACCTTGTCCCCAAGCTCCTGTTTGCCAAAGGTGGTGTCATTAGAAGATGGGATGCTACAGAAATGGGAGTTACTGTGACTTTCTTTGGCTCCCAGGCAATGCATGCTTTTCCTTTTTCACAGCTTCTGATCTTTCCCGGGAACTGTTATCAGCAGCTTCTAGATCGTATCGAGTGGCAGGACTGAGTGCCAAAAAAATGTATTTGTTTTCAATAAGACCAGTCTTTGGAGATACAGAGGGACCAGAGACAACACTCCTTGGGCAAACAGGTATGAAGGCTGGTGACTTGTGTTCCAGTTTTACCTAGGTTACTGCTATTGAGGCTAATTACTTGGCTTCTCTGTGCTTCTGACACTTTGTTAGATAGTGGCATCGTAATTAAGAGATTTAAAGAACACCTTTTCTCTTTGCCTCTTACAGCGGGACCTCACAGAGAGTCACCTGCACCAACTGTTCCAGTGACTTCTACAAAACAAGATACTATGAGATCCCCACCCACATCTCCTGGCAATGTGGGGACCACTCCTCTTCCACTGGCCACCACCACAAAGCTACCAGCAACCCCAGAGACCCCTGTAGTGTCTGCACTGCTGACAACTCCTCCTGGGCCAAGTGAGTGTGTATCCATGTGTGATTTGATGATGATGTAGCAGTAGGTCAAAACCCCCTGGGATCATGGTCTTCTCCGATCTCAGGAGCCAAAATTAGTCTTTGTTCATTCAGTAGTGAGAGTGGACAATGTCAGGGAAAGGGAAGACACAAAGCCCAGAAAACGTGGTGAAGCTCCCAGCACCCCTGTGGGGTGAGGGTGCTGCCTGCTCACTCACCAACACTTGGCATGGCAAGAGATACTGGGTTTGTTTTGTTGCTCTGAACACAAAGAAACGTGCTTCTGCTTTAAGAACCCCCAGTTTACAGAGATCCTCTCTTCCCTCTGCAGTCTGTGGCAAGTTCAAAGCAGATGTTGGGTTCCTGGTGGACGAGTCCTCAAGTATTGGCCAGAGCAATTTCAATAAAGTGAAGGATTTCCTCTTCCGCATCATTTCCTATTTCCCTAAGATTGGGCCTGAAGGGACACAGGCAAGATTTTGTTATTCTTTTTCTTGAAGGTGTTTTCCTCCCAAATGTTCACCTTTTGCTCACCCTTGGTGATGAGACCAGTCTGCTCACTCACATGTTGTAGATCCGAAAGGCCAAGTGCTCTGCCTAAAGACATGTGTGTGTCTCCAACAAAGACATGAATAAAAGTCTCCTAAATGCCAGCCTACTTGTTTGGATGTATTTCCATTTCTTGATTACTTTTTCAAGACCAAGTCATCAGGAATAAAGCAAATTGCACACCTACTGAAATGCTCTCTAGGTTATGGTGCCCAAGGATGTGTCAGGTGTGTGTCCCCCTCTAGAACCCCATTTCTGCCCACATTCAGACTGTAAATGGTTAGAGGCCCAGGTGGGAGATGCATCACATGCCAGCAGCTGCCTCCTCTAGACAAGGACCAGACCCCCAGACCATTCTGTGAAATATCTCAAGGGCAAATGAAGCCTACAGCATTAAATGACAACGCAGCAAAACCAACAGAAAGACTCAGTAGACAATTTATTTGAGGACATTTATATTTAATTAATGTAATATTTGAACTAGGCCTTTGAAAGGGAGACCTACATAGGTCACTTTCAGTTGATCGGAAAATGGGAACTTCATGCACTCTTTGCTTGAAGGTAGTCTTGAAGGTTTAGGTGCATGATGAATTTACCCTGGGTTAACAAATAATTCTGGGGAGATGAAGAAATTTCGATTTAGGTGGCTATAGTATGAGCTGAGTAGCTGGCTTCCTTTTGCAGTCAACAGAGATCAGGGGTTTAATTCAGGAGGGATGAGTGCTGCCGTGGGAGGTGCTGCAGAAGATGTTCCCACCCTGCCATGAGTTGCCTGAAGTGTACCAGTTTCCCATTGGTTCTGTGCTGTATCCACTAGCCTGTGCAGAAATCTCTGATGCCTTAGAAAGTCTGAAAGAGTACCTTGCTCATCTGTAAGCATACGGATTGTGCCCTATGTTCCTGCCAATCTGAGGCATTTTTGTGACTCTTTTCAGTCTCCAAGAAACACAACCTCTTTTGCACCGCAAATAGTTGTATTATTTATTGAGTGATGACACATTTGTTGTGTGCCTGAGCCCTCTGCAATTTTTAATCCCTTTTTCTTTGACAGGTTGCTGTTGCTCAATACAGTGAGGAGCCCAGGGCAGCCTTCTACTTCAACCAGCACCGTGACCGCAACAGTGCCCTGAAAGCAATCAAGGGTCTGCGCTATGCTGGAGGCAACACAAAAACAGGTGTGTGGGTGAGGTCCACACATGGGGTGAACATTCTGGCCCAAGACAGAGGCTGGAGGCCAGGGAAAGCATTCGTCAGAGTGTTTTGAACCCACTTAGTTGTTTAGAAAGTTTTGGCCAAAAGTTCTTTAAAATTTGACAACAGAGGATTGAGTTTAATTTGATTTCCAGGGGTGGTCTGTCCAACTAGCCTGATGTCCTTCATCCATGTCCTAGTTTTACTACTGGGTTCATTATTGTATAACCTTGCTTACACTTGAGGGAGGTTTTTATACCTGGCTTGGAGGCAGAGCCCATAAACATTAGGTAAGGATATTTGATGCTGAAACATCCTTATTGCCCACTGTATGCACATTTTAATCAGCAAATTCCGACGGTTATTGCCTTGTTACCCTAACAACAAAACAATGGGGCCCATCCTATTTTCACAGTGTGCCATCACATAATCTTTGTTCACCTCTGTGGTACAAATAGCACAGCTCTTCATTAGCTCAGCATCTTGGAAATTCAGACACTTTTGTCTTACGTAGTTAAAAAGCTCAGAGACAGCCAGCACTTTCCACCTGCTCATTCCCAGCAGGGCAGTAGGGTATACCTGGTTCCCTGAAGGTACACGAGAAGTCATATTAAATTGGAGATAGTTAAACTTTTAAATGGCCCAGTTATTTAAACATTTTTAAACGGCCCAGTCATTGTCATCCCATCAGTCAACAGAAAGGGAAGCTTTGAGGCACCCATGTATGTTAACTGAAGGGTTATATACTTCTTCCCGACTCAGTGGTATTGGTCAGGAATGCAGAAAAATAAGGCTGATCAAAATACAAGAATTTTGATGGGACTGGTTAGGGAAAGCAGGTATGAAACTGGTCATACTGCACATTCCTAGGTAACCTTGTCTCTAATCCTTCTTTTTTCATGGACGTTTTGTCAAAAGAGACGTTCTGTCCCTCATAGAAGTCTTTCCATATTGTGTTGGGGCTTCTTAATCATTTCAGTTTGGGCGAGGATCCTTTGTGAAACTTTCCTGGGTTTTCTAAAGAAATTTAGAAATGGGAATTCTGTGGATTTTTTTCCTATAGGGAAAATGCTTCAAATGTCCTGAATATATCTTTTTTTTCCTTTCCAAAACTATCTGCTGAATTCAGCCTGAACCATTTCAGCCAATCTGATTTACTGCTGTCTTCCCTCAAAAGACATTGCCCCATGCTCAGGGCTACTATCCATTTATGGGGCCACACTGAATGCCCTTTTTCCTCCATCTGTGGAAGGAGACCCACAGTCCCCACTCTCAGACCTAATACTTGAGCAGATTTACACCATGTCTCTCCATATTTGCTCAGGTCGTGGTATAGCCTACATGCTAAAGGAGTTATTTCAGTCCTCCAGAGGGATGAGACCAGATTTCCCTCACATGATGGTGCTCGTGACTGATGGGCAATCCCAGGATGATGTGTTGCCACCAGCCAGAGTAGCCCATGCTTTGGGTAAGAGTTGCCCTGTTGTGTTTCGCTGAGGCTTTGGTTCTCCAGGGGTTTCTAGGGGGTTGAGGGTGGTACGTTATGTGATGTGAGCACTATGAGTGCACTGTTGGCTTCACTCCTTTATCCTTTCTTCTTTCTGTTCCTCGCTTGAGTGTTTTGGCCTGCTGTAACTCACACACGTGACTTCCAGTGAGTTTTCAGATGGCTACTGGAGTACCTAATCCCAGCAGAGTACAGGAATTATTAACAGGAAGATTGTGATGAGGGGTTTGGAAACTCTGATCTCAAACATTTTTGCTTCTGTTGAGTGAGCGATGTGTTTCAGGAATCCGAATCATCGCTGTGGGTGTCTCAGGAGCTGACCCTGTTGAGCTCAACAACATCTTGCTGCAGAAGAACCTCCAGAACCTTTTCTACGTCAGCACGTTTGATGACTTCCCCCAGATCCTCCGAGAGCTGATAGAAGTAATTTGTTCTGACCCTCAGCTTTCAGGGACCCAGATGCCATCTGGGGAGGTGAGCTACTTCACAGGCCTTTGAATATGAGCCAGTTTGCTTCGTGTGGGTTATGCACAAGGACAATGTTCTTCCCTGAGCAAAGTTTCAGTGCAAAGTCAGAACAGATTTAGGGCGCTGGGTCCAATCCTGACCGCACTTACTGCCCAACCCTAGAGATAAGGAACAAAATCTTTGAAATCAAGGAAGTGGAATTAGGGAAGCCAGAATGCAGCTTTGAAAGTTTTGTTTTATAAGGCCACTGCAGGGGCTAGAGTACTTGGATGTTTTATAAATTCACTGCCCTCTTCTAACTCTGGATGATGGGTCATTGATATGGATGTGAGCTCATCTGCAGAGTATCTCCAACAGTGATATTTTATGGCTGTTTCAATGAAAAGGTTAGTGATACAAAATCACAGTGACCTCTTGAGACCTGTTGGAGGTTGATGTTTGATGTCTGGTTCCAAAACCTGGAGAATCACTAATCTAAAGCCAAACTCCATGCTGTAGGTTGCCAGACATGAAGCCAACAAGCAGTTGCCACTTGGTGGCACAGGGAGCAAGCCACACATCCCTGATCCATCATCAGCTGAACCACATATCCAAAAAGAAGAGGAAGCTTGTGGTCCCTGGTGTTTAAAGGTGAGAATTAGTTCACTGGTGTCTGTTCAGGGGATTATATTTCAAAGAAACATTGATCACTGCTGCGATCAGGTCACTTCTCATACCTGTGTGATGTGCAGTAGAGTTATACCAGTGTCAAAACTTTTAACTTTGGAAACCATGTCTATTTTTGGGAAGGTCATCTGAGAAGTTGCCATTTCAGCAGGGAAAATTCAGCAGCCTCCTGTGCTCCTTCCCAGCAGTCCCATTGGTTGGTCTTCCATAGATCTTGCTTCCTGTCTGCCAGCTCCATGCAGACATCCCAGATGTTCTGTGGCATCTCACGTGGCTCTAGACTCTGTGTGAGCTGCTGAACAGACCAACAAGCTGCCACTGCTCCTTACTTCAGAAATAAAATGTCAGGAGGCAAATCTACCCACTTGTCCTACCAAGCAGAAAGCCAGAGGATGTCAAGAACAGTAGGACAGCCCCAGAGCCCATGTGCTAGTTTAGTGAGTTTACTGGTGGGGCTGTAGCCAGCAAGACTGAGCAGTCTGTGTTAGCTCCACTGGAGAGAATAGTCTCTGTATTAGTCAGTGAACAGCTAGTCAGTGTGGTCAGCAAAGTCTGGTCATGATTCAGTTCATTGGTAGGTGTCCACACTGGCAGAATGTCTCAGATAGTGATGTTTATGCTGTGGCAGTCTAAAATGAGGTGAGGTGAATGTTGTCCACGGATGGTTGAATTACAGCCTTTATTTCATCTCTGCCAAACTCCTTTCCATGGTTTCTTCCATGGGGGAGAAGAATTGCATTCTCACTACCCTGAAGCCTTACAGATACATAATCAAGAATATTTAGAATCTCTCTGAACCAAAAAGAAGATCCTGAACTGTAGATGTGACATGAGCCAAGACTTCGATATGTTCCCTGATTGCATTTTGTCCTCACACAACTGTGTTCTCTCCATCCTGTTCTCCCAATTTCACTTCAGGCTGGAGGCAAAATAAGTAACATGACCTCCAAGGGACTTTAGATAGTCTGAGGATATGAACAGGTCTCCTGCATGGTCGACTTTGCTTCTTCCTTTTGTTGCATAAGCCAAGAAGTGTGCTAGTCTGTGTTTCATGGTCACTCTGGTTTGAGTATATTTGCCATCCTTTGGTGGATAATAATTGCCTGATCATTTGTTCTATTTTCCTTTTCCTTTCAAGAGCTTCAGGGGCTCACCAGCTCATGGAGGCTATGACCCATACAGCTTTACCACAAAGGGAGAGAAAGGAGAGCGGGTGAGTTCACTAGCATGAACCATCCGCTTGATTAATTAATATGCAACTAAATTATTAGAACCAAGGAAGAGATCCAACAAAGAATCATCTTCAGATCTTTTATATTGGTGTTTTGATATATCCTGCTCCATGCTGGCTTTGAAAATCAGGCAGAAGGGAACTAATGTGTGTGTGTTTGTGATGGCAATTGGGGATTGTCTCAAGCAGTACAGAAAACCAGTGCTGTGTGAAGCTGTTTGGGTTGGTGGGTCTGGGGCCATAACCTGCGTGCTGTTACTTTCCATGTGTTTAGGGTCTGCCTGGGAAGGATGGCATTCCTGGGCTGCCGGGCAGACCGGGGCGGACAGGTCCTCCTGGTCCCCCTGGAATCAGGGTATGTATTTGTTTTAACAAACTTTCTCAACGTGACAGTTCAGGGTGAACACGGCTCTCAAATCTCTCTCTCTCCTGTTCTGCAGGGTCTCCCTGGCATCCAGGGTGATACTGTAAGTATTTTGGTCGCAGCAAAGATCATCAATACAGCGAGACCTTTAGGATCTCCTTTGCTTTTAAAGCCTTTCAAAGGCCAGTTGTGCTGAGCAGGACAGGAAGCCCAAGTGACACATTTTGCCTTTATGAGGGGCTGGTGCCATCACCAAATAGCTCCAAAGGATTTTCGTTCTGTTCAGAGATCTGGCAAATAATACAACACAACATGGGAATATTTTTAACCAAATAACCCTCAGACATAGTCCAGGGACTATGAACTCCTATGTATCAGTCCTACTGCATAATGACCTGCAGCATCTTTTGCTCACACACTTCCCATACACGAATTGTTCGTGCAACACTTCAGAGCATTACTTGGAAAACATGCATTTAGCTAGACCGGCCAAACCTCATGTGCCCTTGTTTTTGCTGTACAAATTGCTCCATGCTGTTGATGTCACTGGTGATGGCACAGCTTTGCACACTAGATCAGCAGCCATGAATGTCCCTCCCCTGCTTTTAGCAGGGCTCTGTTAGTAGTCAGCTGTGTTAGAGCCAAGGGTGATTTAGCTGGTCAAAGAGCTGTATTGAGAATGGGCTGGTACCAAGGTGCCCAGGTCATCTGAGATGCCCTAGGATTTCCAAGGCAACCATGCAGGGCTGATAAATTATGGGTCTTGATGGACACTTCTGAATTGACAGCTGGAGACCGGGCAGGTATCAGAGAGCATCACAAATGACACAAGACACCATTGTGTGTGTAATTGAACAGACCCACTAACCTCTATTGGCTGCAGTGGGGTGTAAACATCAGCTCCTGTGCAGAAACAACATGTCAGTGGCACCATATTGAACTTAACTCCATCTTTTGGGCTCAATTCAGTTGCTTTGAGACCTCTTATGTCATTTGAGATGCACTTGTATTCCACCTGTCCTCCAGCTGATGCTCCAGAAGGACACAGGTCTCTAATAAATGTGTAAATGTCTGCCAGCCCTGTGCCTTGGCTACCTGGGAATATCTCAGCTATCCCAAGACACCATGTTTGGGCATCTGGATCAAACTGTCAGTGCCTGTGATGGGGTAGCACCTGTAACAAGGGTTGTGACATTTGTGAGCTGCGGTTTGCATGGATCACAGGAGTCCAACATGAACCACTGCAGCCACTGACTGCCCCTTCTGAGGCTGTTTACTTGCTTCTGGTGGATTAAATAAGCAGCAGTCCCCCATTCCTCACAGCATCCAATGGTGCTTGATTGTCACTACATCAGGTGTGCATCCTACACGCACCCTTCATTAGAGAAGGACATATAACACATTGTCTCCGTGGGTGACGCATACATGATTCTCATCAATAGTGGGACCAAAACCTGTTTTCATGACCACTTTAAAAGTGAATGAAATTTTATTAGAGATGGGTCTGAAACCTGAACACCCCACAATGATGGTCTTGTGGCTACTTTGCTGTTTAATGCTGCAGGATTTATTTTTATTTTTATTTCCATTCCAGGGATCTCCTGGCTATCCAGGACCAGTGGGGCCAAAAGGAGACAGAGTGAGTTTCATTCCTGGGTTTCACTGGGAAAAAGCTATTGTTTGCTCTGATCTCTCATTTCTAAGCACAGTGACCTTTGGTGAATATAAACTTCTGAGCTATATGTAACTAGCCCTACACTGCTAGTCTTCAGCTCGGGGAGATGTCCTTCAGCTTTGCTAGGAGGAATCTAATGTCTTTATGGAGAAAACTGCTCAGTCCTTATCACAGGCCTTTGGCACATCTAGGTTATTTGCAAAAGCAGGTAGCACTTAGTTGGGTCATTCAGCCTTTCTGAATTCCCACTATGAACCAGCCTGTCTGCCTATATTTAGGACACAAAACTGTCCCTCCCCCAAGGCTTAATGCATGTTCTTCCTCTTTCCTTGCATGCACCAGAGCTGTCTATATGGTTACAGGTCAGGGAACAGATCCTGCTGAAAGCCAACCTCCTTTTTTTCCCCCAGGATTAATTTTCTTCTGTGCCAATAAGCAAAGCTCATGTCATGGCCATGTGGTTTCTGGTACCTCTGCAAAAGAGTTGCTGCAAGAGTTTGGGTTTGCAGTGCAGGGAGGGGCTGTTTGGTTTTAAAGTTGTTTATGCTAATCATGGCATTTCCCCTAAGTCATGAAACTGCCTGCCTGCATCCAGACCTCCCAACTCAGCTGAGTGTGTTTCCTCCTCTCTGTGTGCACAGGGTGAACCAGGCTATGTCCTTGGAGGTGTGGAGGTGATTCCTGGCCAAAATAGGCAACCTGGCCCCCCAGTGAGTATCATACTCCAGGTGTGGTGGACCCTTCAGCCTCTCAAGGGCTGGCAGAGAAGCAAAGGGAGCTGGGAGAGAGCCCACATCCCTCCCTCTCCTGGTTCTCGTTGTTGCAGGGACAGAAAGGGCAGCCAGGTGTTCCTGGGGTGGCAGGACCACCAGGTTTACCAGGGCCACAGGGGCCACCAGGGATCTCCATCAAGGTGAGCATGGTTATTTGAAACATGGCTTTGTGATGTTGTACCACAGAAAGAGGAGACCCAGAATAGTCCACGATCCCTGGATACTCTGTTCAAAGGCCATGGGAACACACATTTATTCTGTCTCTCATGGGATTCTTCCATGGAGGCATAAAAGGAGGCACGCTGCAAAATGTTCTCATCATCAGGGCCCTGCTGTTCAACACAGTGGGACTCGATGGTGGAGCTTGGAAATGTTATGGTCAACCTTGTCTGACATGGGACTAGATTCAGTGACCACTAAGATTTTTCCAGCTCCAGGGCCCTAGAAGGATTGTTCAGCATCTGTAGTGAGATTCACAGGATCAGTTGTGCTATGCAGAGCCAAAACTGGACTGATGGTTGTCACCAAATATCTCTTTGCACTGGGAGTGGGTCAAAAAGTCTCATCAGACATCAGGAGACCTAAACTGCTCTCCTCTAACCCAAGGGTGGGGGTTGACACCAGATATTGCAGGTTCAGATGTCTGGGGCATGCAAGATAGCAGACACTTCTACTGAAGCTCTGTCTTCCCTTGAGGGTGGGAGTTTTGATGTCCAGGCTTGTCAGCCTGCAGGAACTTTTTTGCTGGGACTAAGTTTAGAGAGGACCTCCTCTCTAAATTACCACCCCATGGTAATTCTCCTTGTCCTTTGTGTTTCAGGGTGACCCAGGGGATTCAGGTGTCAGGGTAAGTACCTGAGATTGGTTTTCACTTTTGCATGTGATGAGAAGCCTTTTTAAAATTTATTATTTCTAAGCTGCCCAATAGGCTCTGGTTTCTGTACTTACCAGATGTCCTTCAAGACCCATTAAGGGCCGCTGGGACATGCAGTAAGACTGTCCTGTGCTTCATGCAGGGCCCTCGTGGGAGGAATGGCCTCAAGGGTGACAGAGGAGGCATGGGAGAGCCGGTGAGTGGTCCACTAATGGTCAGTTGCTGAGGAAGAGCTGCTGGCCACAGTGGGAAGGGGCCACTGGCCTCAGGATGCCCTCTGCCACGTGGGGTGGGTGTAGCGGGACGTCTACTGACAGTTCTCATCAGCCACCGCTCTGGGATGCCTCACTCTGCTGACAAGGGTTGTCAGATTAAGCATTTATCACTTTGTCAGCTTCATCCTGTTGACCTGTCACTCAGAAATTGCTGAAAGGGAAATGTTAGAAACCCATCAAAGACACGGATAACAGCCATTCATTTTGTCAAAAGCAAGGACATGCGTTTCCTCACGGCATGGAGCAAAGCCGTGAGAAGTGCTCACCGTGAGGATAAACTCTGTGGTGTAGTCAATCATGCTGGCAGATGATCAGAAATGTCACCCAATGAAGGCTACTCTGAAGTGACAGGGGTTCACCCTTGAGCCCCCACTATCTCCATCACCCATGGAGGAGCTGAGTGCAACCCTGCTCCTTCCCACATCCCACTCCCTGGTCTCAGGAGGATGGAGAAGAACTGAGGCAGGTCCAGAGGAGGGCATGAAGGTGGATCAAAAAGTAGGACAGCAATTGGACCAAGATTGTGGCAGTAGATTTGAGACAAACAAAAGGACGTGGTTCTTCACAGAGGTCCCACAAGGATATTTAGGCTGTAGAAAGTTTGAGTTCAAGGGGAGATGAGAGAAGAAAAAAAGTCCATGGAGGACTACTAAGAGTAAAAGAAACCATGTTTGGTTTGGGAAGTCCCTGCATTACAAATAGCTCAAACCTGAAAAATTATTCAGAGACTGTTCTTGCATCCTTCCCAAGGTGCCTATTACTCTCCATCATCATACTGGGTGCTTTTTTTCTGTTACCTTTGCTGTACTGCGGAGCTATATCCCACAGACCAGGTATTTCCATATGTCAAACTTCACCATTTCTACACCAGCAGCATTACTCCAGTCACCCTCTTACAGCAACACAGCCATGAAGAGCCAACAGAGAATGCACCCACTGCCAAATCAACATGGATACTCTAGGCTCTGTCTTCCCGTGTAACAGGCAAACTCATCTTTATTTTCTCTTCCTGAGTAAAACCAGTGATCCTTAGACTATTTGTGAGAAAAAAAGGAAATCTGGGGATACATAAACATCTCTATAAATCCGCAGTTGCAAAGGTACCATTAAGATGGGCACATCAGGATATACATTTCTCTGCTTGTGTTTCTGTAGACTTAAAAATAAGCTTTTTTCTTTAGTATGATTGGTAACAGTTTAGCAGAAAACGATTTGATGATGTGTCTTCCTTTTCAGGGGAAACCTGGCTTGCCGGGCCCTGTAGGGCTAGATGGTGTTCCTGGATTGCCTGGACCAAGAGGAGAAAAGGTCATTACTCGTATCCGATGCTTGCTGAATCCATCAGCCCAAGGAGGAACTGAGAATAGCTGAGACAAAGTAATAGCAGGGTAGACACTACAAATAAAGTGCAGACATGCAGGGATTTCCCCCCATTTCTCTCCACTCCCTGCTCATATGGTTTTGACTTTGTGCGTGGTAGAATGGACGCTCCATCTCCATCCAAGCCCTTGTTTTCCTCATAGTGCTCAACCCAGTGGAAGAACTTTGTGGTTCCTCCTATCAGGAGCAGTGTTTTCTCCCAAACAGAGCCCAAGCTCTTCATGCTCCCTGTCCCCTGGATAGGGCTGCTTCACTGAATCCACCACCTTGCTTCTAATGCTCACTGAAAACACCCACAGACCCTTGCTTTTAATACTCTCCTCCAAGTCATTGTTTGCACCTTGCCTGAAGGTTACTGGCTAGACATATGTCTTAACTGCATGCTTACAGAACAAATTTTTCCCCTCCTACTGTGCAGGATGGCCAAGAGCAGAGCTCTGAAGCAGGTAGCTGGGTAGAACATATCATTGTCTACAATTTTGGGGATCAGCTTTCTTGAGCGCAATGCTGTGCTTACCTTGCAGGGGATGACAGGAACTGGTATTCCTGGCACTGTTGGCCCAAAGGGAGAAGAAGGAAAGCAGGTGAGTTGGCAATTTTGCTTTGAACTTTGCAGGTGAACTCCCCTTGGAGGGCCCAGTGTTTCCAAAGTCACTCCAATACCTCTTTTTAAGGTTTTACTTGGAGGGAGCATCCTGTGGTTACAAATGGAAACAGTCACAGAAGGGATGACATTGAGTCTTAAATCTGAGCTTTCACTGTTTCTTCTGTTTTTCAGGGGGTGATGGGACCTCCAGGAGCAGCAGGACCTAAGGTGGGTACTGAAATTCTGAACTGAGTCTCTGTGCCTTGTACTCAGGTGCCAATGAAAGCGTGTAGCTCTAACCATCATCATAGGCTGTGGGAATGTTGACCCCTTACTCAAAAGCATCAAAAGGGAGTAATTTTGCACATCAGGAGTCACTGGCCTGTGGAAGTCATTGCTGCAGAGACCTGGAATAATAGCAAGATGCAGTATTTTTATCAAAGAATTAATGGCATTTTTGTGGCCAGTGAGACTCTGCAAAACTAGTAATTCATGTTAAATTTGGGGGAGGAGACACACCAGGGCTTGATCCCAACTCTGATGGGATGAAGACGGGGGAAGACGTAAGGAGCATATTGTCTCACATCTGCGTTCTGGACACCTTCCTCTGAACCTTCTAGGCCCAGACCCATTCTTACCTAATTAAATGTCTGAATCATATAATGTCATAGTGCCAGGATGCCTCTCTCAGTGAAGAAAGATGAGCCCTGTGAGAGGTCATACAGCCCATCCTGAAGTTTGAGTTTTCTTCTGGAAGTGCCCATCTCTTTCCAACTGTTGGGGAAAAAGAAAACCTTGACTTGACCAGTTCTCTCACCTTGCTTAAGAGCCTGGGGTTGGTGGGGAGGAATGATTTTGGTGTCTTGGTGCTGCCAGAGGAAAGGGACTGGACAAATGTAGCTCCATCCCCAATCTAGAAACTCTGCTGTGAACCCAGGGAAGATGATACATGGAAAGGACTGGTCAGGAAGGTACTCATGTCAGGGAGGAAGATTTTCTTGCAGATTGCTGCCTGTCTTCCAGCTCTCGCTACTCATGGAGATGTGGGAGTTCAACTCCAGGCCTTCTCCATGTCACAAAATACCTGGAAAGCTGCAGGTGCAGGAGGAATCGGTTGATCTTGGCATGTACAGGGACAATGGCTGTGGGAGGAAGGAGACTTTTTCCTGAGCCAGGAGAAATACCTCTCAGTTCAGGTTTGAGTGGATGTTTGCCTCTTTCTGGCTCAAGCTCATGTTGAAGTTTGACACCTGAGAAAGACTCGGGAAGGCTGAATTTTCCCTGGTATGGGGAGTGCCAGGCATGGGTTTGGGTGGTATGTAAGGCGTCTCAGCATGGTCCCAGGTTGTTATGGCTCTTGGAGGAGCAACCACTTAGGATTGGGTTGCACGGCTCTCTGCATACTCCCTTCTCCAGGTAACTCAGGATATACTCTTTGAGTTACTGCTGGTGGCCAAATGGATCTGAGCCACTGATTTATTTCATGTCATTAAGCTCAAAAATGTCCGTGTTGACCCCAAGATAAATTGTTTTCATACTTCCAAGAGAGGTAGAAAATGAAGGAAAAAAATAATATCCAAGGAAATGTTTCATTCAGCTCGAAATAAAGTGGTTTGCTTCCCTTTGCAGTAGTGCTTTCTTATTTCAAAAAAAAAAAAAAAAAAAAAAAAAAAAAAAAAAAAAAAAAAAAAAAAAAAAAAAAGTATTTAACATCTGTAAAGTCTTTGCAAGCGCTAACAGCCAGTTTGCTGCTCCTGTCTTGCCCTTTGCAAGAGCAAAGACCTCCTTGAATTGCCCAGTCCTGATCCACACAAATATAGGTCTGTGACTGGGTGTTTCATGGACTCCCCCTCAGAAAGAGCAAAATTTGGCAAGCTGCTCACTGGTGAGGTAACTGTTGACGTTGCCCAGTGAGCTCTTTATGAGATGACATCAGGTGGTGCAGGAGACAATCCCAGCTGCTCTCTTTTGCTTAAAGTTGGGCCAGGACCACCTGAGGAAGAACCAATTGAGCCAAGGGGGTGCCTCCAGATGAATCAAATCAGAATGAAGCTTTAAAAATTAAGATAAAAAAAAGAATGTATAAATATAGAACCCACTGTAACTGGCTCCTGGGATGGTATCTCACCTTGCTCCTCTTGGTTACCTCAGCCTCTGAGCTAAGCCTGGAGCCACCCCACAGCCCCAGACCTGCACGTTATCCATGCTGTAAACTCTCAACTTTTCCATGAGACTGTCTCATCTTCAGCTCTCAAGGTCCTTGGGAGGAAACAGTCTGATCAAGCTCAGGATAGTCCATATATAGTAATATATGTATATTAAATTATGTATTAGGTGGTGATAGAACTATATATAACTAAATATTATAATATGCATGCAATTTAATATTAGGCATTGTGTATACAGTAATATGATTATACAATAATCTGAACATATTCTAGATACTATACAGGTAATTAATATGCAAGATAGAAATGCATGGACCATATATATAACATATGCTATATACTACTTATGACATATATGTAAAAAACTTTATTTTTTCTTTTTTTTCTTTTTCCCTATATGCTTTTCCCCCCGCTTTCACAATTTCCAGTGGAGGGAACATGCTCAGCATGCTCTTCTGCAGCGTGCAAGCCTCCAGGCTCATCCTGCTCTGCCAGTGAAGCCTTGTCTTAACAAAAGCATCTTCTGTTTTCCAGGGTGACAAAGGGCAAGGTGGTGTTAAAGGGGAGAAGGTGAGACTGGCCAGCACTGGAGCACAGAGTAGGATGGGAAGAAGTGCTGGCTCTGGTTTTGGGCTCAGGACACAGCAGTTGAGGTATCTGGTTGGAGATGCAGAGGGAGGGAATTTGAGGCCCCACCAAAGGCTTCTCCCAGTCTGACCAGACATAACTGGGCCACGTAGCTCCACGCCACATAACTGCAAGGTTCAGGAGCTTGCTGCTGCTGAAGGATCAACCATGCATGGGGAGACCTTGCAGCAATGGTAAATCCCCAGGAGAGTCTGTGGCTAGCGAGCACTGACAAACAAACCTTGAATACCCTTTGCCACTCCGTACTGAGTATTCACAGGTTTGCTTTTATTGAGCTATATTTCAGGTTTGCTGTTTTTACAGCTCCCCCAGCTGCACTTGTTCTGTACATGCATCTGATTATAGCTTCAAAGATCAAAAGAGACAGCAGCATTTTTTTTCTAATAGCTACGGTAGTGAAAAATGGAAATAGGCTGTCGTTCTTCCTCGAGGCAGTGTACCTTGCAGAAGCAAGGCCCTGCAGGCATTGTGGGTATGTGTACTTGTAGCTTCCTGCTCTGAGCAGCATCCTTGGCCTGGGTTAGGCAAAACACTGACCTGGTCTGGTACCTCCCATGCATCTCGTGGCTGTTTTCAGGCCTTTTGTTGCTTGCAAAGGACCATCTTGGATAGTTTTACCCAGGATGAGAGCTTGCAGCTCTGTGCTTGGTCTCCTGGTAGAGGGCAGCCAGGCATACTAGAGATAGGCATGGGAATTTCCATCTCTCACCCAAGAGCCCTTACAGCTGTCTGGCAGAGGTGTCTTGTAATCAGTGAAAAATTAGGCTGAAGGGCTTCCTCCCTCTCTCCCTCTGGCTGAGAGCTTCTCACTACAACAGAGACCAGAAGTGCTGAATCTATTTTCAGTCTGGTGGAAATTCTCTTCTGATGTCTTACAGGGACTCCCAGGACCTCCAGGGCAGAAGGGAGACCAAGTAAGTCAAACAGTACAAGAACAACATGTTTCACTAGCTCAGGCAAAGATGTCCTGACTTTCCCCAGCTTGTTCATGTGTGCAGCTCTTGCAAGTGCAGTTGAGTGTGTTTATGGGAAGCCTACACAGAGATGAAGCCAGCAGGGACGCTCTTGGGCTTCACCACAAGCTCAACATCTCCTCTCTGTTTTGCTCTTGTGCTTCTGAGATGAGTTTTGAACTGTTTTAAGGAATGGATGGGGGAGAGCAATGAGCAGAAATTTTCCATTGCCCCATATTGCTCATTTTATGTCCTCTTGCCTTGCAGGGGAACCCAGGATTTCCAGGTGCTCCAGCTATGGGGGTAACTATGAGTGGATTGCAGCCCTTCTTGTGCGATAGCCATGCAGCATCACTGCCAGTAGTGCCAGTAGACCAAGAACCAAGGGAGATGTGTCCCACTAAACTGCAGGAAGAACTAATGGACCTTTTCTTTGACCCTCCAGACAACTATGTCTTCTGGTTGCTTACTCCACTTCTTGTATTCCCAGCCCTGCACTATAGTTGCCCACTGGCTCCTCAAAGGAGCTTCACTGCTGTGCAGGAAACATAAGGATAAGGCCTTCCCACCATTGAATCCCTGTACTCCAGGCCTGTCCCCCATTCCACCTCCCCATTCACAGTGGGGCTGTGCTGGTCCCTATGCTGCTGATGGGTCTTATTTGCCTCATTCCCATGTGGAAACTGGGCTTCTACAGCCTCCTTTTCATGTCCTTCCAAATACTAGGGCAGCTTTAAGGAGAAACCTTGGTGGTGGCCACCTCTGCATGCCCCACAGCATTGCTGCAAGGGCCATGGGAGCAGTTGGAGGTTGCCCTAAGGACTGAAACCCACCACCAGGACAGACTGATGTGTCCTGGAGGATGCCTGAATGAGCAGGGTACCTTGGGATTCTTTCCTAGCAATGCTGACAGAATTGTGTTGGAGACACAAGGGAGGAAGACAGCTCTGTAGCCCCTAAACCCAACTCAAGGCTGCTCCTCAGGGTTGTAATGCAAGTCATTCCCATTCATGGCTGCCCCAAGGTTGGTCCTTGGTGTGTTAGCAAAGGCTGCAGCAGCTATCTGCCAATTACTCCATGCATGTAATCGTTCAGTTCCATCCCTGGAGCTAAAACCCAGTGAAGTTTGTGGGATTCTTCAAGCTTCAGTGGGTTTGGCATTTGGATTGTAGCTCTTTCTGGGATTTTATGACGCAGTGCACGTGATGGGTTTCCTATCCCATAGCAAGGCTGAGATTATCTTGCTTTGAAAAGAATGTGAATAGACTCTACTTTGAAATTGAGTTTTTTTTTTCCCAAATAAGTGAGCATTTCTGTGATTTCTTTTTATCCTCAGGTTTTGGGACCTCCAGGCAAGAAAGGTGTCAGGGTAAGTCCATTAATTAGCACTTCTTGAAACTTAGATGAGATTTTTTGCATGAAAAAAGTGAGGGCTGGACTGTGTTTCACAATCTGGATCATATCCCCCTTGTAATTGACTGAACAGGAGAGGTTGGAAAAGTAGCAATAGTCTTGCCCTGCTGATATTTCTTTTGCTTTTATTAACATTTTGTGCCTGTCATTCTCTTTCTAGCCCCAGTCTGTGGGGAAATTTAGGATTTCCATGTGCTAGTTTTAAAAGGCAGAGATCACTGAAGCACAGATCCAGCCCACTCACAGAAGCTACTTCCCAGCCAAGGGGCACATTGACATAAAATCAAAGCACAGCTGAGGCTGGAAGGGACTTCTGGAGGTCTCTAGTCCCACCTCTTGCTCAAAACAGAGCCAGCTTTAAAGCTGGGTCAGGTTGTTCACGACCTTGTGTGCTGAGCATTTCCACAGATGGAGATTTCCCCACCTCTCTGGGACCCTGACCTGGTGTTTGTCCTTCCTGTGACTGGAGGAAATTGAATTTCTCAAACCAGGGAGATCTCTGAGACAGAGCTGATCCCTGACTATGTTGTCCATATTGTACAGCTGCTTTATAGCACAGTGGATATAGTTCACTTTTGCAGTGGCCTCATGGTGCAAAATGGCCTGGAATATCTTCATTTTTTAATTCTTGATAGCTCATTTTCAACCTTCAGTAAAATAAAAGATCTCCCTTATCCATGTAAGGAGTATCGACTGCAGGAATAAGTCCTCCTGGATTTTTGATGGCTGACATTCATGAAATCCCTACAGTGCTTCATACCTCCCCTCACCCCTTAGTGACAGTGACTTTTGTCCTTTTTGCTGGCCTTGGACGTTGGAGCCACACCCCTTATTGGACTTATTGTTTAGGCTGCTTAGTGCTGGTTATCAAAAATGTTTCCTTTTAGGTTGGTAGTGGCCTGAGACCTGAATTTTATCCTGCTCATACTATAAATGCACACGTGATGCTTTACAGTATACAAGTTGCATGGCTGGAGAGGGTGTAACTACTGTGATGGGGTTTGTATGGTAGAAGACCAAGTACCACAGAAAAGGCTTCCGTGTAAACCCAAAGATGGGTGGATGAGTGGATTTGGCAAGGGAATGGTTTTCAGAGTGTATTAGGTGTGCAAAATGCAGGTCTAGGCAGCCGCAAGAACAGGGTTTGTCTCCATGATAGTATCAGCCTTGGGAATGTCTTTATTCACAGGGAGATATTGGGCCAACAGGGGCCCTGGGACCACAAGGAAACAAAGGAATACAAGGGGACAAAGGAGAGAAGGTAATGCACTTGCTTTTCTTGGCACATCCTTTAAGGGTAGAAAGTTTTGTTTGTGTCCACAAAGGAAGCTCTGAAGCAGATCAAATTCCTTCCTGAGTCAGAGAGAGATGCAGAGTTACGGATGCTCAGCTCACCCAGCTTCCCATGGTTGATGAAAATGCTTAGGGTCTGCTCTTTTTTTGCTAGCTTCAGATGTGGAGATTGATGTGCTGAGCTTGGAAGCTGCTCTGGCAAGACACTGTATCTCCCTCTGCATCTTGCCTGGCACCAAACACAGCATTTGGCAACTAAGTCCCAGCAGTTACAACAAGGATGGGAAGCAGGTTGATCCTTGAGGGGGCTGCAAAGTGGTGGTGGAATGGAGACTGCTAACAGCATGGCACAGGACATGTTCCTGAGAGTGAAATAATGAGAGGAGCAGGGTCATGCCTCCACAGTTTGTGCATAGTGATGGAAGAATTGCAGCCAAGATCTGCAAGATTGGGCTGGGGAAACTGAGGCATGTGCTGGGTTCACCAAATAACCCTCTAGTGAAAGTTGGGTCTCCATGACAGCATCTCTCAGAGGTGGCAGCAAATGTGGTTAGGAGGGATGTGATGAAATCAAGAGGGAATCTGGGACATGGGACTAGCACAGGGTTTGGCCCTAGCTGTCTCTGTTGTACGTAGAGGTGCAGAGAGGAAAAGCTCCCCAAGCTTTACGCTGAGACACGCATCATCATTTATTTTTGCAGGGAAGTCCAGGTTTTGGCATTCCTGGTCAGCCTGGGCTGAAGGGAGATCCAGGCGACAGGGTGAGTGGGGCAACGTGCTGGATGTGGAAAGGGGAGGCCTAAGGAGGCAAATCAGGAGGTTCAGAGACAAAATCTGTCACCTCCATGCATGTGAGTTTGCTGGTCTTCACCCACAGAACCTGTCACCAGCAAATTAATAGTGGGATGGTGACAAAGAGTTGGGACGTTACCCTGTGGTTGGTGAACCCACGGTGGTCTTGTGTGATGGGGTAGTTCACACCTGTCTGTGGAAGACAGCGTTAAGCGGGGGCCTCTCCAAAATGCAGAGAGGATTGCTTCTGAGTCTGAAGAAAACACAGGTGGTCAATGCTCAGCTGGTAATTCTGTGATCAGCAAAGCCAAGGGAGCCCCATTTCCAATTGCTTTGTGTACTGAAGGTGAACTTGACCTTTATCTTGCTGACTTTTGTGTCTAAGAAGGTGCAAGCTTCTGGTGGCTCCCACGTGAATTCACTGATGTATAGTAAGGGTTGGGTTAATGCCTCAGTGTTCCCTCTTAAGAGGATATTAATAGTCTCTTTCATTTTAAACCAGAAAAAAGCTTGCAAAATCTAACAGCTTTGAGGTCCCCACCCCTCTATCAAAGCTAGTCATCAAAATATTAAAGGTTTCACAGTGGGGAAGACGTGTATCTAGACAGCATGTGCTTACAGCCGTCCCTCTTCTCGTAGGACACAACCCCCTTTTCCCTCCTTTGCATTTTACTACAGTTTCCGCTGCTAATACCTGCAATCAAAGAGCAGCTTTGCAGCACTGAATGTGATGTTTACACCCTTTAGATACATCAGAGGACCCTCACCTGAGATTGTTCGACCTGTATCATTCTTGTTGTGTGATTAATGGTCTGTATTTCTGCAGGGAAACGTAGGTTTGTCTGGCAAACCAGGTCAGAAGGTGAGTCTCTGCAGTGATGGCAACACATAAACCGGTGTCTGATGCCTGTGTCACCCAAAGCAACTGGAGTCAGTGGGATTTTATCTTTGCCATGGGGCTAGTGTTGAGACATAGGGAGTGTTCAAAAGCTGAAAGATCTGAGCAAATCCTGCTTTGCTGGAGTGTCCGTATGCAGACATGCATAGACAAACAATTAAAAGATGCAACAAATGAGGCCTTAAAGAATTCTGCAAATCCCAGCCTGTAGGATTTCTCCTAGCAAGGATTGAAAACCAGTCCAGAGAGGTCTGGAAAACATCCCAAATGTGGCGTTTCTTCAGCGAATCTGTCTTGCTGTGTACATTTCTCAAACAGCGTTTCTCCTCAGGCTATGGATTTGGGAAATGATACAGCATGATAGATAGCCCAACGAGCAGAATATTTAGGCTAGATCAGCTTCATGGCCATGGAGAAATTGGATGTCAAAAGAGATAAATGAGATGCATCCAAGACAGGCTGTGTTAACAAGATGTGTTAATGCAGTTGCAAAGTGGAGAAGGCAGCAAGAGGTATTTTTGGGTTGGGACAAAGCATGGCGAGGTGGTTGAGTGATGAGGAAGATTTCTGTTGTACGAACTTCAAACAGCAGATGCACAGGTACCCATCCATGACAGCTCAACTGATTTTACATGGGAGTAGAAGTTAAAACATGGAGGGAGAACTGACCCTGTTTACACCACTCTCTCAAGACTGGACCCATCTCCTGCGTCTCCACTAATGGGCCATCTTGTTTGAGCTGCAAAGCTTCCTGGCAGTGGAGAACCTCGGAAGAGTCTGTCCTGCAGCGTTGGCCAAGGCTGCTCATGGGATGGAGATGGACCTCATTAGACATGGACGCTGTTCAGCCTGTCCCACTAAGGAAACACCATGAGCACAGTCCTTCCTAGCACAGGGTAGATGCTCTGAGCCCAAGCTTCAGCCCGCAGTGTAGAAGCAATTGCACAGCCATGGGGCCTGGCACGCTGTCTGAATCCACCCCGCAATGTCTAAAATGTGAGGATTATGAAATGCAGAAGAGGAATGTAACAACAGTCTTGTTTTCTTTAGGGAGATATAGGTCTGAAGGGAGAGAAAGGTGAACCAGGATTACCTGGGAAACCAGGCAAGACCGGACTAAGAGGTAAAGATGTAAGTAGAAGCTAACAGTCCAGTCATGGTGAACCCCTTGGTGTGCCACCCTGTACCAAGCTAACAACCCCGGGTTATGGCCTTGCAGTAACAAGTAGGAACAAGTGACAAGATGGTACCAGTCAGAAACATGCATGTTCTACAAGTCTGGTTGGGGAAGAGACCAATCTCAGCACAATGGTCAACAAACGAGACCGGACAAACTACCTCTAATTAGGCTCATCAAGGGATATAACTTCTCGTTTGCTCTGTCCACTCTTTCATTGCAAGTGAGAAGGTACATCCTTTACAGATGGACGTTAGGGTGTGCTTTAAGCTGTGTTTAGAGGTTGAGTCTCTTTACCCTTGGTCTGGGAGGAACAAGTGTGTGGCACCATGGTATTTGTGTTACACTGTCTGGATGCATCATTTCTCACGTGTTATTCAACATCATGGCTTTTTGTCATTGAGTCATCTCTGTCTGATGTGAACTAGCACAACGTGCAGCCACAACAGCCCTGAAGGGCTTGCTTTTGGTTTTAGGGCATAATAATTCCCTCTTATGACCAAACAAGGCCCCTTAAAAGCGTCATAAATGGCTTCTGAAAAGCTTTTCCTAACCACAGTCAGTGAAGACTTTTCTTCAGCTCAAAGGGCTGATTTGATCCCCGAATACCAAGTGGGATAGGATCACCAAGGGAAGTCTTGAGAAAAAAGAAGCAGCTGTGTTTCTGATCCTGAAGCACTGCTGCCCAACACTTCAGAGTCACTGGTGATGCCCACCACCCCTGACTTCAGAGTCGCCGGGGATTTCAGAATAACAGCTCTTAACCTGAGTAGGAAACTAGGGTAAAAAACTTGGGTCAGAGGTGGAATTGTAACCTAGCACTTTCGCATTGTGTTGTAGGGAGAACCAGGGAAGAAAGGCACCTCTGGGACCAAGGTAATCAGTGCCTACACCTTCCAGAGTTACGTATCTCCCAAACACGGCAGGCTCACCCCCAGCTGGAGCTCGGGGGACAGCGGTGTAGGAGAAGGGCTGCACTGAGTTAGGGTGAAGGTCTACCCGTCCCACCGTCTCACCTCCAGGAGTGACCCACTTCCCTGGAGGTCCTGGGAACCATGCAAAAGTAGGATGTCCTGTGTGACAGGTGATGTCTTATGGGTTTGATAGCTCTTGGTAGATTTTGCTGCTACAAATTTAGTCACCCCACATGAACCTTTAACACCCTCAAACCCTCTGGGCAAGGCGTTGCACAGGTTGGTTAAGCAGCAGCTGGAGAAACACCCCCTTTGATTGGTTTTGAAGCTGATCCCTGTTCGTTTTATTTCCTGTTGACTTGTCCTTAGGTTGGATGAGACTACGAAAAATCATCTTCATCTTGCCCTTGGTTTTTCTTTCTCTTATTTTAGCTTTGGTTTCATCTTCCAAAGCTAAAGGCTGAAAAAGAAAGGACGAAAAAGAACTAAACTCTGGGGTTTGGGGAGATTGTTTTATATGCTCTGCAGGAGATGCAGAGAACAGCTTGCCACAAATAATAGCAAGGTTTGGTGGAAATAACATAATTTTCCTCTTAAATATGAGTATTGTACTGTCACCCTACTTCTTCTGCCCTATTTATTTCATTTATGAGACTGTTCTAAACCACTACCACTAGTTTAAGACGTCTCAGTTGACCACAGTTGACTGCCTTGCTACCGGCTTTCCAAGCATTACACAATGCCAAAGAGGAGAGCATTAGAGCCACTGGAATGGTAGGTGGACTTGGTTTGCCTTTAAACTGGGTCCTCCAGGTGTAACTGCAGTATAACTATCATCGATGAAGGTTCAACCTGATGGAAGCAAGCTTTTAAAAGCTCTTACTTCTCTCTTTTAGGGAGAAGCTGGTGTCCCTGGAGAACCAGGAGAGAGAGGAATCAGGGTAATAATTGCAATTATAATAATTTTCTGCCCAGGGGAGTGGTGGGGCTTCAGGAGAGGCTGCTCTGCTGCTGCCCAAGCGCCCCTGGTCTGGGCAGGAGGAGCAGACTTCCTTCTCCATCCCAACAAGACTCCCCACTTAGAAATGTCCATGTGCAAATATTTCTTTCCTGGGGGAAAAATCATAGGGTGGGGTAGGTTTCTTTTGCTGTTTGCTTTACTCTTTTGAGTTGCTGGACATGCTCTATTTCTGATTGCTTCTCCTAATAATTTCTTGCAGGGACCACCTGGACTCCCAGGCCGGCCTGGAGAGCAGGGGATAAAGGGCGATACAGGACAGCCTGGGAAGGATGTAAGGCAATCCCTGAAGGAGCAGTTGAGAGAGGGAGAACTTGGGATAGTGCAGTACTAGTCAAAGAAACAACCGTATTTTTTTCTGTCTTACAGCCTGTGAGGCATATAGAAAGCTCTCTCTCCTGGGGAGGGGGTCTCCTCTTCAAAGGGAGGATTAGGGCTGTTTCTCCTTTTTTGTTTGATTAGCTAGAGTACAGGATTAGCAGGATTCTGCACTGGCAGGTTTGGAGTGTGTAAAACTTCCCCAGCCCCACACTGGTGGAAACAAAACGCTTAATGCTTTCTCAATCTGGTGAGGAAGGAAGGAAAACAATGCACTTACACTCTGTCTGTCTGATCTCCCTCTAATAGCTTTGGAAAACACTAAAACCAGACATGGTGCTTCTACAAACTTTATGAAACTGAGCAGCTGACTTGAGGAAAGTCCCTAATGAGCCTACCCACTGAGGAAGAGGCTAATCATCTCTCACCCCTTATTAAATATTAGAGAACTCCTCCACAGGAGAGATGTTGAAATCCAGATTTCATTAGCTCAGCTGCTTAAAGATGGGCTTGTTAGTCCATGGGATGCTGAGCTGGAAGAGAGTGGAGACTGCTGAGAGCCCTTACCACAGCTTGTTCTCATCCTGCCTTTCTCTCCACCTCCTAGGGAATCACTGGAGAGAAGGGAGACAAGGGCGAATCTGTAGGTTTGCACATTCCCATTTATAACCTTGCATGAGAGAGAGTCTGTTTTGGGGGCTAAAAAGTTGAATTTCACCACTTACTATTTTTTTTGGGGGGTGGGGCTATGGGGGTGTTGTATCTTCATAGGGTGAACCTGGGCTGCCTGGGACTCCTGGAAGCATTGTGAGTAACACCTACTTATGTTGATTTACACAATGGTTCAAGGGCACGGGGTATGTTGACATTTATCACGAATCCTGGATACCGTGGAGGACACATTGACAGAACTTACTGCTTTTAATAGTGCATGTTGTAGAGTGGATTTTCCTCCTAGCCTTATCAATGGTGCAAAACAATGCAGTTAGCTCCCACCCCATGAATCCCACCCCAAATGGCTTGTTATTGATGCTGCAAGACGACTGTGACACAGAAGAGACTAAAAGCAGCTATGAACCCACCTGATGCCTGTAATCAAGGCATCTGGGCTCCTTCTATAGTCAAGACAGAGACGGATGCCTTCCAGGAAAGGTGCTCAGGCAGATGGGATGACTCGTGCTCAGGACTCTCCTGTGCCTTTGCATGGAGTTTTCCTTGGGATGAAAGGCCTAACATCAACTTGGGTCAGATGAAGAGTGAGCAACTCAACCCGGTCTCAACAAAAACAAGGCTGGAAAAGATTTTGAGAGGTTATTTAGGTGATCAGGAAGGTGTTTCAGCACATGAATGTGCAAGGAGGCATTTTTCCACCCTGTTGTGCTTCAATGGAAGCAAAGCCAGCCCAGTGCAACCTCTGCCCTAGAACCAGGAGCCACAGTGTCTCAGGAGAGCTGTGCAAGACTTTATCTTCCATACCCAGGGGTGAGGTATTAGTAGGAGCTGAGTAAGAGGCTTCTTCAGACTGGGCAAAATGGTACCAACCACCTTCAGCAGTATCATTCCTGTACAAACCAGTGATTTCCAGTGACTTCAGAGCTCAGGACAAGCCAAGAGCAAGGAGTCAGTGCCTGCTGGTGATGCCTCTCTCCATATATTGCAGATCTCCACCCCCAGCCGTACCAAAATGCTGTTTGAAACCACCCCATTTTGTGATCCCAGCCCCATTTTCAGTTTTTGTTATCTACTGGGATTCCTGTTCACTTGTCTCTTGTGTATTCTGCACTACTTGAACTCGGAACTCCGGTGTGTTTGGGTGTGGGACATGGGGATACCAAGCACCCCCTGTTCCCTTTAAACTAGCAAGAGCCTTGTTGTTTCAGAGTATGGCAAGATCCTCCTCTGCTAATGCATAACCATCTCAGTCCATCACTCAGCCAGGTCCTCTTAGGGTTCAGAAGGCTTGTTCTCACTCATGCAGTTACTCAACCAGCTACTCAAATACCCATTAAATGCCCATGGCAAAGGGGGACCAACACAATGTCCTGAGCAGCAGGGAAGTGTGTGACCCCAGTTCCCATGGAGAGGGACTTCACTGGAAATGTAGGTACTAACACCAACATCACAACCACCCTGAATCTCTCGGAGAGCAAAGATGCTGCACCAGCTCCCTGTTGGTTTGAGTCCAAACAGAACAGGTTCAGGTTGCTGGCTGATTTGGGAGAAAGCATCTGGCGCTCAGCCCGTAAACAAGGGCTAATGGGGATAAAAGGCACATGGAGGTGAGAGCTTGTATCAAAGACTTCATCCTTCACTTTGTGAGCAAGGTTTTTTTTCCTTTTTTTTTTTTTTTTTCAGGTATCTTCTCTGGAGAACACCATCACCCTGAAAGGCGACAAGGTAAGATCTCCTTGCTGAAGATGATGTGTATTGAAGCTGAATACGTGATTATTTTGCACATGCTGTGTATTTTGTAGCTTCATTACAAGGCAAAGTCTGCAGACATAGCCCCAAACTCCCAAGTTCCTTAAGGAAATTCTGCTGTTCCCACCTCCAACTACGAAAGTCCTCCAAACACAGTGCATCGTTGGCTGCTTTGCTGAAAGGGGATGACTTGGATGCTGGAATAACTCTTATAGTTTGTCCAGACCAATGAGCCTATTGCTATTACAGAAGCTCCTTGTTATAGCAACAACTCTGTTTGTGGGTAGGTTTGGAAGAGCTTTTATTTAGTGCCAGCACTTGGATCACAGTAGCATGGACCCAGCACAGATGGAAATTCTGGCGATAGGAAATGGCAGAGACAGATTCACTGGGGGTTTTTTCAGCCCTGTAAAAAAGATCACTGAAAATATTACTGAACCCCTCATGACTTCAGGCCAATCTGCCTAAATCCTATCTGGGGGATGCCCTGTGGGAATTAAGAATTGGTGGTTAGGAAAAATGTAAACTGACCTTTAGGTTAGAAGAATGATTGTAGATAAATGAGGCAACGCTATGGAACACCATGTTGTGAGCATGGAGAAGCACCAGGTTGGAACACCACCTGCTGAGCGTGTGTTCAGCAAACAGACACAATCTGAAGGTCAGTAGGATGGAGAAGTGGAGATGAAACTGTGTAAACATTTGGTAATAAATTGGGAGCTTGCATACAGTGTGGCAGCATTTGCTCTTGGCAGTGCTCCCCCTTCAACAAACTTGAGTGAGTTGGTCGTGATTCAGCACGTAGCCCCGATCCCAAATGGCCCAAGACTGGTAATGCCCAAGTCGTGATCAGTATCAGAGCAGCTCCTTACCTGCTCCCACCCCTCTTCCAATGGTCTGTTTAGCAAAGCAGACGCCAAAGAAATGCAGCTTTGGCTGCACGCAAACCACAGTGCCACATGCAGCACCATCTCCAACCCTGTGCAGCAACAGAAGTGGAGTAATTTGAGTAATCAAAGCACACAATAAGATTAAAAATGTATTTAGTTGCCTTCTCTCCCTCCTTCACTTTAACAAGGTTTGTGAGTTGGCTGTTTATTTTGTGAACCTTGCAGCTCGGGACAGGGAAGGACACGAGGCAGACGTGGAAGAGGCAGACCAGCCCCAGCATCAATTTCTACTACATTTTGCTGTGCTGGGAGAAAAGGCTCATTCAGAGAGGTGCAGAGTGTATATCTAGATGGGTTCTTTGCAGGCAGAGCTGGTCCGGCCCTGCCACTTCTCTGATTTACCTGCAGAACTCGTGAGTCCTGAGTCACAGGCAAAGCAGATGGCTGTGGGAGAACAAGAGCTGCAAGCAATTTCGCTGTGCGTCTGTCATCTCCCCAAACCCCACTTAAAGCATCTAGTCCCGGGCTTTACTAAAGAAATGGTGTTGCTTCATCAGCCAAGCTGTGATGGCGGGGAAATAAGAGGCAAAGTTTTGATTGCAAGGAGATGTAATATTGTTATTAGTCCTCATAGGGTAGCAGGGGAAAAAAGAAACACAGAAAAGGTCTCGGGGACATGAGCCCTTCTTTAATTCTGAAGCAGAAGGAGCATGTTTCAAGTGAAGAGCATTGTTGCTCCAAATCTAATTGTGTGAATCGGTGAGACAGTTACAAGGAAAGGCTGGCTAGTCCATCTGGAAGAGATGATGTTAGTCTGGGTCCAGCATGGGCCAGCACATGAGAAATACCACAATGCATGATGAAACCATCATTTCCCCTGAGAATTTTAGAGGGGACAAAGAACTTACATGTTTCTGCTGGCTTACAGGGGGATCGTGGGAAGGATGGCTTGAAAGGTGAAAGAGGTCCTCCAGGCCCAAAGGTATGTCCTGACTGCATGGAGGCATCTTTGTGTCGATGCCATTATGTTGGGCTGACCAGAGGGGGAGATCACCCATCTCAGATCTCTTCTGACCCCCTAAAAGGTTGGGTTTTCAAAGCAGAGTTTCTGAGATGGTCTCATAAACTTGTGGTTGCAGTGATGCTGTAGTTCTACAACTCCATTAAACAGATACACGAAAGATACTGTTCAGGAGTTGGATGGGATAAATTTTTAGAATGTTCAGTGTTGTTTCCTTACTTTCCTCCAACCTGCAAGCTGAAGAGCACATTAGAAAGGGATGGAAGAAGAAATGGCTTCTGATACCACACACATCCAGAGATCTTTAGAGGTGGGACCAACTCCTTCAACTAATGGAGAGGAAAATACTGCAGAAGGCAGCATCAACAGGGTAGATCTCCTGACTGGTATGAGATCTGGGTCTTTGCAAAGGCAAGGACTTATCCAGGCAACATGCATGGGCTGTGCCTTAGACATACCCAGTTTGGCCAGTGCAGCCCACACTGTGGCTCCTTCAACCCAGCACATCTTGCCGTGAAGATGCAGTGCTGTCAGGGCCTTCCTGGCGCCCTTCATTCCACCGGAATCTGTCGATACAGAAACCAGATTTCAGTGAAATGAAGCCCATCAGAGAGGCAGGTCAGTCCCCGCCTCAGCAGACGTTCCTCGGCTCAGCGCTGGACCTCCCAAGCTGTTGCAGCTCATCTGTAGTTTCATCTGTGGTGGTGGCCCAGGATCACTCACCCGGAGAGTGTCACCATTCTGGGCAAGGAGAGATGGACAGCCCATCTATGCAACTTGATGTTGGGAGTCCAACCCGTTGGAGATACTTATCCCAGACCACATGTGGCAGTAGGGAGGGCCACCAGCACCATGGCCACCTCCAGAAGGGACCACCAACCATGGGGGCACCTTGGCCATCCTCCTCCTTGCTGCTACCTCTGCACAGCAGTGACAGCATTGGTGGCATTGAGGGGCCTCAAAAACCTTTGCTTTTTGACACACTCTGCATGGCCAAGAAATGGAGAAGGGGATGGTGCAAAGCTCTGATCCAAGCCTCACTTTGATGATGGTCTGGTCCAGGCCTGCCCTATGAATTGCAGCCAGCAGCTGTGTCCAATGGAGGAGTGAAGGAGCCCATTGAGGAGGGTGGGATGCAAACTCCCTCTCTGAGCCGACGGGGATTTGTCTGGAGTCACAGTGCAAGCTGATAGCAGAGTAAGGGCCAGATATGTGGCTCTTGCCCCTCCTCAAGAGCTCCTCTTCTTGTTGTTCATTGGGATAATGACTTAATTAATGAGTTGTTCTTGTTCATTTGAAGGGAGAACCTGGTCCACCAGGCAAAGGAGTGGAAATGAAGGTAAGTAAAATAAAAATTACAGAGCATATTAACGTTGTAAACACCTTCCTCTCTGTCTGGGGTGGGGATGGCAGAGGGAATCCAGTGTGTGCCCCCAGGCTTAGCCATCAACCACTCACAGGACCAGCTTCCTGGGCTGGAGGAAAGAGGAGGAGAAGTTCTGACCCTTCTTTCCTTTTGCAGGATCTGGAGAGGCTTTTTGAAGCAAATGGTATCAAGGTAGGTAACGCTTTGATGGAGATAATGTGTGCTCCCCCAGGTCCAGCACTAGCACTCACAAAAAGGCAGGGCTGTTAGGTTTCCTTTTACAGCTTACCATATATATTTAAATACTTCTGGACAGCTTTTCTGCTGCTTATGTTATGGGGTGGATGGTGGCTTTGAGGCCCATATAACATTGAGACGTGGCAAATACCCATTCAGAGCTTGGTGCTACCACCTGGGTTGGCTTGTACTTCAGCACTGGGACTGCACAGCCATCAAGAGGAGACCCCCACAGTCCTCTGGGGCTCTTTGTCCTGTTTAGTCCAAAGTCCATTTTGGGTTGTTCCTTAGCTCATGACACAAATAATAGTGAATAATCACTGTGCAAGTGAAATGCTGGGGTTTCAACCCCAAGCCCCAAATTAAGGCTGACATCTGGGTGATTCCCACAGCCCTTCCCAAAGGGAGTGAGTTTCCCTTTAAGCTTCCCCCCAGGGTGGGGCCTTGCAGACAGAGCCATCAGGTAAAGAGCCCCAGGTGTCCTGCATTAAGTAACCCAAGGTCAGGTGTCCACTGAGGGATAACAGCTGGGAGCCCTGGCAGGAGGGGCAGTGTCTGTGTGTGAGGTGGGTGCCCTGTGCAGAGTTCCCTGTTGGGGAAGGACCTCCCGCCTCCCTGGGACTGGGCTCCAGGCAGGTCTGGCTTTGGTAAACGTGGGCTGTGCAGAGATTCAGTACGTGGCTTCCTTGGTCTTATTGTTTGGCTTGTTGACTCGGTTGTCTCCCGTCCCTTCTATGGGAGACTGCATGTCACCATTTATTACGCCTGTTGTTGGTTGTGCGGTGTCGTTGCTGGGGTCAGTGGGATTGATGTTGATTATGTATAACCCAATTGACTTGTTTGTACCCCCAGTGCTCACCTGTGTACTGACCCTTTTGTATCAAATACAATCTGGTTATTGGTTCATCTTTATGCTGGCTGTGTCCTTTATGCTAGGCCTAATAATTGGTAAAACAGCAAGACAGCAGTGCTAGACTGGTGGCCTCCCTCTCCACTCTCAAGGTTGCCATCAAGCTCAGGAAGTGTAATGAGGCTCAGCTTTTAGTATCTACCAGGCAGGTACTTATAGTTGTGCTCATGACCTTCAGCTCCTTTCTGAAAATTCTGGAAGTGTGACTGAGAGAGGTGAGGAACTGACTGATCTGGGCAAATGTAGCAGTTTTATTTATGATGAGGAGAGCCACCACATAAGCACCATTGATCTCCTAGATGCCCAAAATGCAGCCACCTGTGTTTAAATCATCTGTTGTTGGTCGGGGCACAATTGCTTCACCAGGTGCTGTGTGAGCTCCAATGGAAATGCAGCAGTCGTTTTTTTGGGGTGGCTGCACGTGTGCTGTCGTGTGTCAGGAACAGGAGGGTGGCTCTGGGCTACTGCCTTAATGGTCTCCACTGGTTGCAGCTGGCACTGCTGAAGGACCTCTCCAACGCACTCCTGCAGGATGGGCTGGATGGGCTGGTGCAGCAGCTGGGTGGCTCCAGGACAAGCAAGACCTCCCAGAGAAAGCAGGCAACTCTGCAAGCCACCACGCATGGCGTGAGTATTGTCATCTGTCATCCTCACGGGACAGACAGACCTCGAAGGAAATGGGAGAGACAGAAATGAATCATTGAAGGCTTCAGGGTCAAGCAGGTTACAGTGACTTGCAGCCGCTGTAAGAAATGGTTAAGCTGGAAGCAGCTAATGGCTTGCACGAGGATCTTTGGGTTAAACTGATGGGCTTGCAAAGCGTTCTTTTTTCAGCAGAAATAAAGGAATCAGCCAACCCTTGTTGTTGATGGAGGTAGCTAGAAGCCATCCTCCAAAGCCATCAGCCTCCTTATGCCCTTTGAGGGTTGTGGATTGTTGGAGTGGTGGGTGTGAAGGGGGAGCAAAGCAGTTGAAAGCACAAGAAGTGATCCCAAGGGCAGCCTCAAAAGCAAGAGGGGTCCCAGGGAGGCAGGACTAGCTTGGAAGGAAGGCTTGGAGGTGGCTAGCAGGGAACTGCTGACTCCATCCTGGTTTGGAAATGCTACCAGGTGGGACAGAGCATGCTGGAGGCATGGGGCAGCGGGTAGAAATAACCCATCAGGTTCCAGCTCATCACATGTGTGGATCCTGGGAGCTCAGGTTTGTCATCGCCACACTAACCCACTTTTTTGGATGTTGCAGGATTTGCTGGTGTTTGATACTTCTCATGATGCCCTGGCCAGCACCGAGGTGACAGAAGAAGCACAGAGCCTGGAGGTGGAGGCTCAGTTTAGGGTGCCTGTGTCTGGAGGACTCCTTAAGGTGAAAATGAACAACAGAGCAGAAGTGTGTTTGTGTAGATCTACGCTCCTGTCCATCTGGTCTGCTGCAGCAATGATATTAACAGATTGCACATCAAATGTGTGCCAGCTGCCTGTGAGCTCCCAGTCCATGCTCCAGTGATGCCTTCTGCTGATCCTCATTCTCCCTTCTTTTCTACCCAGCCACAACTCATTCTTGTCTTCTAAGCAAAAAATACAACACCTGTTGGGCTGGTTTCAAGCCACAGCAGTTCTGATTATCTGTTGAACTTGCCCTGCCACTTCTCCTCACTCGGAGGCTGTAATCTAGGTGCTTCTCCCCTGCTCTATCAGGGGTGGATCCAATCCTGCTGTCAAATTGAATTGAGATTGCTCAGGAGAGGAGTTCCTGCCATGCTTCCTCAGCCTTCATTTGCTTGAGTAACCAGGCTAATTGCTAGAGAGAATCCAGTCACCTGCATCCTTTGCAGTTGCAAGTAACAGACAGTTTGTGTTTATAGGAACTAGGAATTTATTAGCAATGTTAAGGCTTAATCTCCATGCTGAACCAAGTTCCAGTGTTGTACAGCACACCTCCAGGAATAACATCAGTATCCAGGTCACCTCTCATAGCTGCTGGAGGAGTCAAGTATCTTAATTTGCCTGTACTAGACAGTCCTGATAAGAGAGAGTCCAGGAAATAGTGCCTGCAGCTGCGGTGGGGCTTTTCTCATCCTCTTTTTATGACAGCCAAGAAGTGATTCACTCTCCATAAACCCTTGTAGGTCTCTGGTAGGAAATGTTGTCTCCAAGTGGAGCACAAGAGCTGTGGGGGTGTTTGGAGCCAGCTCCTGATCATTCTTCCTCAGTGGTTGGTTCAGCGATGACCCAGTTGCTCAGGTTCTTAGACAGGGTGAGACAGGCTCATTCCCTCTCAGCTCCAGGCTCCTGCTCTGATCTCAGGTGAGACCTGTTGCTTTTCTGGATCATTGCAATCTGGGTGATAGCATTTTAGGGGCTTGAGAGGGGATGAAGTGTTCACCAGTAGATGTATTTGTACCAAAAGACACAAACAATGTGTGCCAGCAACCCTGGAGGCAGCAATGGTGGGTTTTGGGGTACAGAGACACCAAATCTGTCTCTGTCGGGCTTTTGAGACCAACTCATTCTGTCAGAAAGGGTTGGGGACCTCTCTGCTCATCTGGGCCAGCCTAAGAGATCAATGGAGGTCCAAGCAACCCTCCAACCCATGGGGGATCCTTGCAATCTGCCCCAGCCCATCCTTGTTGGCACTTCCCAAATAAGGTGCAAGAGAGGTCTTGGCACCTTGGTCTCCAGCCTTGTCCTGCTGTCTCTGAGCATGCTATTGAATAAATGACAGTGTTGATAAAGCAGTGTATTGTGGATGATGTCCTGACTTAGAAAAAACAGTAACTTTCTTTGGTCTCCACAGGGTCTATCTGCTGGTGGTTCTGAACCTGAGTACGAGTCCTTAGGAAACCCTCCTGAGTCCTTGGAGAAAACACCTGAGGAAAGAAGGAACGAGAGAGACTCAAGAGGGACAAACATTTCTCTCAGCAGTGTATGTAAATACCTGTTCAGTGACTTTTAATTGTTTTTTTCAATTGTGCTGATTTAATAGATACAAAGCAGTTACATTTCTCAGAGGTTGATAGGACAAGACATTGCAATTCTGTGAGTTTTGCCCCTATTTTACTGCAGTGAAAAGCTAAGTTAGAGAAAGGAAAAGGATCCCTTCATGGATCACTGTCAGAGCTTGGAAAAGGGTCTTGTTGTCCATCTCCTGCTCTGGTAGTCAGCGAGACTGTGTTGTTGCTTATCCCTCACCCTCTGCAGAGCTTGGCTGTGTCCCCACCACACCCAGAAGATGATCGGCAAGGAAGTCAGCCCATGGAGCTTCTCAAGTCCTTGGAGGAGGGGATGGAAGGACAACAGGACGTCAGCCATGTATGTCTTCCCCAGCAGTTCTGGGCAGTAGACCAGTGTGGAGATAAGTGATAGACTGGAAGGGACTGGGATGCACATCTCTCATCCAGTGCTCTGAGTCCTGGGGCAGGTCCCCCCACATCTCTAGAGGATACCACTGCTCAGACATGGGACCTGGGCAGGAGACTGGTGGCCAACCTTGTCCTTTGCATACAGACAGGGAAGTGGGAACCCCCAGAGCCCTTGGCAAATGTTTTGTTAATTAATTACCCTTTTTTCTGGGGGGGTAGGGAGAGGACAATCTCTTTCTAATCTGAATCCATCTAGCCACAGCATCCGTCCTACTATTTGGGTTGGGTTTGACTGAATAATTGATGATTCTCAATATTTTTTAAAATCAGACTTGTAATACTCCAGGAACAGTGCAAAGCCCAGACAGTGAATTTAAGATACGCCCCTTGATAACCTCTTCCTTATTACTTCTATAGATGTCTCAGAATAGTCCACAGACTCTCAGGTTTCCCTGCACAGTGTTAGTCTTTTAGACCCTGGTATGCACCGTCCTGAGCTCAGCTCTGGAGTGCAGAGTTTGACTCCCCTAAAGAAGAGGGGTTTAGGGTCTAAGCAGGAATTTGCGGACTTTCTCCTTTTTAAGGACTCACCAACAGGAGCAAATTGTAATTTAATAAGTCTTTGTGGGTCAGCTGAGCCAAGGTGACTGTCCCAGAGGAAACATGATGCAGGGTGGCACACCTTACCTCTTCCTTCAAGGTGTGCCTCTTGAAAAGCTGAAGTGGTTTGTTACTGCACTTCAGCTGAAGGACAGTAGCAAAGTAGAGGTTTCTTCCATAGCCAGGGGTTAGAACTGCTTTACGAGCACATGGGTCCATACCCCCTAAGACACACGATATCATTTTCAGCCAAGTTGGAGGGTGCATCCAGGCTGATAGCAGCAGTTACCACAGCTCAGCTGATGAGCAATAAATTGTGGTGTTGCTGCAGCGTGGTTGTCTGAGCCCTTTTTTTTTTTTTTTTTTTTTTTTTTTTCCCCTGCCTTCCTGGGCATGCATTTTCTCCTGAGAGCCCAAACCATGCTTCATTGCCATGTACCAAACCCAGCACCCTCCAGTTTGAACATCACTGGAACTGTGAGTGCCCAGTCCAGCCCAGCTGCCAGACCCTACCCCGACACCAGCCCCAGTGATGGAGAGAGAGAAAATGTATTTATCCAGTGCTGGCTTAACACCTTTGCACAGTGACATGCTCCTGTGTGATGGACGGAATTCTCTTTCTGAAAATACTCAGGAGACTGGTTACCAACAGCCTTAAAACGTGAACAGAAAAAATCCCCTGAATGTTTGTTTGCAGCTACAGGCATGGTGGCTGGTAGGAACAGCGTTAGCAAGGATGTTTCTAGGAATAGCAAAGAGGGGGTAGCTCAAAGTGGGGAGACCCTGTTGGAGGAAATCTCTCTGATTTAGGGAGTCTGCTCAACACTTGGCATCTGCTCCCATCGCTTTAAACCGTCTCCAGGCTGGTTCTGCAAATTAACACCACACGGAATCACGAGGCTGGAGCAAACAATATTGCAGCAGCCACGAGAGGGCTCCCGGCACAAACACACGCAGACCCCCACCCCACCCACC